AAGATTTATTTACGCCACAGTGCCAGCCCCATGGTTCACTTTCCAAATGGTTTTCACTTTGGGGCTGGACCAGGTCAAAGCCAGGAGTCAGGAACTCCATCTGTGTCCTAAGTCCTTGTGCCATCACCTGTTGCCCTCCGTGGGCACATCAGTTGGGGAGCTGGATCAGCAGCAGAGAAGCCAGGGCTGAAGCCAGCACTTGGGTATGGGATGGCAGCATCACAAGGCGTGGTTCAACCTGCTGAGGGTACTGCAAACCCCTGGATGCTTCTGCTGACAGCTGTGGCTGTGAAGGGAGAGGGGAGATCGGGCAGTAGTTGGAAGAATGTGAGGAGTTAAGTGAGGGTTCTTTCTAAGGAAGTGAAAGCAGATTGTTTTAATTTTAAAAAGCCATTAGGTGAGAATTAAATTTAAATTTTGATGATTTTCTTTCTCCATAATGATTAAACTGATTAAATAGCTTTTGTTCAGGTTAATCTTTATGTTTATAAAAATGTAACATATAAAGTGTTATAAAAAGTATAATATTATATTTTAAATTTGATAGCAAAAGAGGTGTTTTTTTTTTGTTTTTGTTTAGTTTTTTTTGATAGTCAGGGTTAGTGAGAGAGAGACAGAGAGAAAGGTCTTCCTTCCATTGATTCACCCCCAAAATGGCCACTATGGAAGCGCGCCGCGCAGATCCGAAGCCAGGAGCCAGGTGCTTCTCCTGGTCTCCCATGCGGGTGCAGGGCCCAAGCACTTGGGCCATCCTCCACTGCACTCCCTGGCCACAGCAGAGAGCTGGCCTGGAAGAGGAGCAACCGGGACGGAATCTCAGCACTTCAGCCGGGACTAGAACCCGGTGTGCCGGCACCGCAGGCGGAAGATTAGCCTAGTGATCTGTGGCGCTGACCAAGAGTGTTTTTTCTTACCTAGCAACTATCCACCAAACATGATTTCCAAAGGCAGATACTTCAGTTCTCTTGGCCATTTCTTCTGGTATTTACTTCCATTTTTCTAATATATATGTTTATATAGATATACATTTCTTGTTTTTGCATATGTTAACTTTCTATTATAGTGCTTCAGTTTTAGTGTTTTCATTTTTATGATTCTATAAATTACTTGCTAACAGACATACATATTTCCTTTTGTTCTTGCATTAATAATGTTTTTTCAAAAATTTGCTTCATGTTTTTTGAACATCTGACCAGACGTTTATACTCTAAGGAGCTCCTGTCAAAGTAGGAGTCTTACTCTCTGAAGCTCTCATTTTATCAGTGCCCCGTTTTTCCTCCTAGAGACTTCTCTCCTGTTTTTAACTTCAATCTCTATGAACAGGTTGTTTTTTGTTTTCCTAATATCCGTTTGCCTCCATCTCAGGAATTTCTTTTTCATTTCTTTTTCTTTTCCTCACATGTCCTGGATCCTAGGCTTTTCTTTTTCTTCATTTTCTACCTTATTTTGGGGGAGCATACCCTTTAATGGATACTTCTTTTTTTTTTTTTCGTGTTCTCAACCTTTCTGAGAAAGTACATAGGTAGTATTTTTGAGTTCCTGGGTATCTGAAAATACCTTTATTCGTAATTGTTAGATTAATGGATATTTTGGTTACAGGATGGGTAGAATTCTGTTCTGAAACTAAGGCTCATAACTGGGTTTTTCTTAATATTTGCTTAACAATAAATTGAGTATGTAGTTAAGTAGGCCAAGATTCATAGTCATTAGCATCTACCTTGTGATTAACGTGTGTTTGTCTGGAGATGTTTTGTGTGAGAAAATGGCCATACACAGCCTGATGCAGGGATTGTTACTCTTCTGGCAACCTCGCTCATCTACACTGTGTCAAACCCCCACACCAAGTACTACTCTCTAATGTGAGCTTGAATCGAATGCAAACATGAACCCAGTTCTAGTTTGCTTTAAAGAATTTTTAATACACTTTTCAGCAAAAAAATGGCCACTAACTACAGACTTAACATTTTTCTTAAGTAAATTTTTAAGAAAATATTTAAAGTCAACTTCTCATAGCAATTTTAAAAAACAGCAAGACCTAATAATAGAATTCCAATATCTAAGAATAAATAAAAATTATTTAATTCTATCAGAGTGTAAAAACATTTCTGCTTTGCTTCCAAAAATAATTTATGGTAGCTCTGGTAAAATATTCAGAAGCTTTAGAAGTAAGAACCATTAACATAAGAGTAGGGGATTAAATCCTAGTGACAAATTGAGTCTCATTGAGACAAGGAAATTGTTGATAAAATTTTAGGCTAACTGAAAGTATGCCAATTAAGCACCAGGTTTGCTCTTTTTTTTTTTTTTTTTAAATTAATTTATATAAAAGGCAGACAGATAATTGCTATCCACACTAGTCTACTTCCCAAATGCCTACCAGCAACAGGGCTGAAGATGGGAGGAACTCAATCCATATGGGTGGCAGGGACTCAACTCCCTGAGCCATTAGTTGTTGCCTCCCAGGGTACACATCAGCAAGAAGCTGGAGCCAGAAGCCAGAGCTGGGATTTGAACCCAGACACTCAGATGAGGGATGCAGGAATCCCAAGAGGTGTCTGAGTCACTAGGCCAGGCTGAAACTTGCCCTGCTCTAACTTCTGTGAAAGCAGAGTTAAAGTACCCTTTTGTTTCATATGATGGCTTCTTAGATAAAATGCTTATCACAATATGTACTTGTGAGTGGAGTAAACAATAATTCTTAATTCTTTTGATTGATTGTATCCACATGATGATGTCACATATTTGCACTGGTGTGATACACTGAGTATTAACTGTGTTTGGAAAAGCTATTTTTAATTTCAGCCTTGCTGTGCATGAGAAGTAAGGCACTTCTAATTGTTGGGGCTTTGGATTGTGCTACATATTATATGTGAGTTATCCCATTTGATTTCCTGAGACCATTGAGGGCTTTAATGATCACATCCATTTTGGGAGTAAGTAATGAGGGTTTAGAAGGAAAAGCACACAGTTTTGAATCCTGACTATAAGGATTTTTCTTAAATGAATACCAGTGACAAAAATAACAGTCACCCTGTAATCTTTGTAATTCATTCAGTGGTCAGAAGCTCCATTCTAAGGCGTACCACTGCACTCGTGAGCTGTTGTCCTTTTCTCTCTCAACAGCATTCAAATATGCCTTCTGCTGTTGTGAGAAAAACAAAACAAAACTTGCCTTGTCCCCATCTGCATCCCTCAAGCAAAATTTATGGAAACTTTGCACTCCCTGGCTCCACTTCCTCTCTCCTCTTTTCTTTCTTAAGCTTTACTTTGACTCTGAAAACATACTGAGGTCACCAATGGTTTTCTTGCTGTTCAGTTTGGTGAGCAATCCTCATTTTACTATGTCTCTTAGCAGCACTTGACATAGTTTCTGCTCTGTTTCTCTCTTGAGTTCTTTCTTCATTTTGTTTCAGTACTGCAACTCTCTTGAGTTCTCTCCCGTTTTAGTGACTGCTCCTGCCCAGTCTTCTTCACTGTATTTCTCTCTTCCAGTCCTAGTAATATTGGACTTCCTCATCAGCCATTCCTCCTTCCACTGGTGTTCTCTCTCCTTATTCTGCAAGTGATAGAATCTAGTCTCAAGGTTCAATATTATCCTAATTGTATATTTCTTGGCCCAGGCATTCTTCTGAACTGCAGACTTATTTATTGCCCTACTCTCATTGGATGTGTGCTGAGTGTGTCCAAAATTGTACTCTCCATTCCTACTCCAGATTCGTTCACCATCTTTGTAAATACCACTGTCATCATCCAGTTTGAAAGGTGTGGAATCATCTTTCCTCTTAAAGTCCATGTTCATCAGTAAATTCTCTTGGCAGTATTCCAGAATGTCTAGTGAATCTGACCAATACCTCCACAGTTACCACCCAGTCCAAGCTGCCATCTTCATTGTCCAGCTCCTTACAATAACCTCCTGATTGGTCTCTTGTTTCAACCTCCTGCCAGTGCTTCTGTCGTACTCGGTGTTGCATTGGAGTCACCTTGTACTGGCTTGAAGGACTGAGCATGTGCATGTCTTCCCAAGTTCATGTTCAGTGACATTAATGCTCCTGGCTTGAAATTGGCCATGGGAGTAAGCAGTTTTTACACCACAGAAAGCAACAAACAAATCAGCCCTCTCCCTCCACTATTAAATATTTACCAGTACACAGCCACTCTCCCCCTCCAGGGTATTCTGCCCAGAGGAACGAAATGGTCCTTTAATAAGTCATGTGACTGCCCTGTTAGATTCTGTTGGCCTTTCCTTAAACTCAGAGTAAATTAAAGCTCTTAGGATTGCTCACAAGCCCTTTCAACCTGCCTCTGTGCTGGGGCATGGTAGGTCTACACCAGGGAGATCTTGATTTTTGTGGATGGGTGGGTAGGTGGGTGCATGGATGGATGAGTTGTTTGTACCATCTTAGTAATCTGTGACTATTGCATGAGGCCTATTAATGTTTTTCTTTTGTAATTAATGGAAGAGATGTACTTTCTTAAGACTTGATTGTTTGAAAGTTAGATTTATTACTGAATTTCCAGAACCTCAGACAGAGGCTTATTTAAATACAAGAACAAAAAGAATTTTATAGTAAAATGCAAATAACTTCTGAATTTCTGTTATAAGAAAGCAAGTCACTAATTTTTATTAGCATAAATAGGAGCTCAGTGTACTTTTTAAGAATATTCTAGAAAAATAATTCCAGAAGAAGAGTATTTTTAACTTTTTTAAGTTAAAAATAAAACTTAAGAAAACTTATGTGTATATCATTCTGCTGTTAAGATTAATCTGGACAAATAAACATAATTGGGTATTTATTTTGTGATAGTTCCTATTTTCTGTTTAAGTGCCTTTTTTGGGTGGGGGAGGTCACAGTGGATACACTGGCAGTTGTCTTGTTAAATTCTGATCTAGTAGAGTGTTTATAGTTAACAGATTTGTTTGTTAATTTCCAGGTATTTTTAGAGTCAAATACTATTAAGATATTCATAAATTTAAATTGGAAATATTATCTTCTTTATAGGGTATATTTCAGAAATCGCTGGGTGAAGACTGTCCACCCAGTTGTGCATCAGTACTGTTTGATCTCAAGCGCACATTCCACCTTTCAGATGCCACAGAAGGAAGATATTCTTAAACACCGAGTGGTGGTTGTTACATTGAATACTTCCCAGTACCTCTGTCAATTGGACCTTGAACCTGGTATGCTGACTCAAGGCACAGATACGGTGGCACATGGGTTTAAGGCTTATGCGTTCAGTTTGACTGGGAGTTGACAAATCTCCTGTGGGCCAAAACTGGCTCACTGTTTTCATAGTAAAGTTTCGTTGGATGGAAAATAGCCTTGCTCATTTATTTACTTACTGGTTGTCTGGATGCTTTTGTGAGTTGTATGGTTGCAGTAGAGAGTGTATTTTTGGATCTTTACTAAAAAATTTGCCAACCTTTTGTTTAGATACTTTAGTGACTGCAGTTTCATTTGTTCTCTAATTGGTTTGGTTATGTTCATTATTGATCATTTGAAGAATTTAAATTTGGACAGTATTGGTGTTTTTAAAACAATTGTCTCGAATTTTTGCTTTAAAATGTTTTTGTGTAGACACAACAATCATAGGATTTTTTTAAAAAAAGATTTATTTATTTATTTGAAAGACAGAATGACAGAAAAAGAAAGATCTTCCATCTGCTGGTTTACTTTTTGAGTGGCTGCAACAGCTGGGCTGAGTCAGGCCAAAGCCAGAAGCCTGGAACTCCATCCTGGTCTCCTGTGTGGGTGGCAGGGCCCCAAGCACTTCAGTCATCTGCTGTTACTTTCCCAGGCCTGTTAGCAGGAAGCTGGATCAGAAGTGGAGCAACTGAGAGTTGAACTGGTGCCCTTAGGGCATGCTGGCATCGTAGTTGATGGCCTAACCTGCTATGTTACACTGATCCTTGATAGGATTATTTTTGTTTACATTATTAAAGTTATTATTTTTAAGTAGAGGAACTATATAAAATCAAGCCAATGTTCTATAAAATAGATACAAGATGAAAAGAAATTCTGACATATAAAAGCAGAACTTAACCATCAAAAGTAGTTACTTTAATGTAGTTGCATTGGAAGAATTCTCATTTATTACTGCTGCCATATTATGATTGTTGACATTGTTCAACATAGTTTTTTGTTTGTTTTGTTGTTTGCCACCTCCTTTTGGGATTGCTTTCAGAGCCAGTGGCACATTCTTCTGTCTGAGTCCCTGGAAGGGAGATGCTGTCCTGTTCCCCCTCTAGACTCAGTCCAGGGTGTAGGCACTTTGTTGCCCTTGATAAAACTTTACCTTAACTGAAGAAATGATGGCCAGTCCTTTTTTTTTTTTTTTTTTTTTTTTTTTTTAAATTGAGGAGCAATACCAATAGGGATTAAAAAGAGAGAGAGGGAGAGAGCGAGCGTGAGCGCGCCATGCCTCTCATTTAAAGAGACTAATTTTCTTGTGCATGCAGCATATAGCTGGCTGGTGAGGGAAACTGCAACAGCTCAGTTTAATAAAAAGGTCTTGAGCAGTGGAATGAGCTCTGTTTTGTCCCAAGTGGCTTCTTTGAATGGAATAACACTTAATTTGAAATTTAAATTTTTGGTATGTTTATTTAACAGTCTCACTACTTTCTGATTAAACTCTGAATATGTACCACGCCGATTAGAAAACCTCCAACATGTGACAGCTTTGTGAGAAAGTTAAGAACGGACTGAGGAGCTGAGGGACAGAGAAATCCTTCCTGGGGGATCACCAGATTCCTTGTTCTGTGTGTTATTTAAGCTTTTATTTCATTTAATTCTCATATCAACCCAGTTGAGGGTTATTCTGCAAATAAGAAAACCAAGGCCCAGGCTTAGTCAGTTTGATTCATTCAAGTTACTTTTTCTAGCTTAAGCAACAATCATACCAGTTTCATGATTAATTCAGTTCCTGATGTGAGCCTTGCTCTATTTAATTAAAATGTTATCCACTGGAAACAGATTTTTTTCACTACTCTAAGTTCTTCCAATTTGTTCTTATGCTTATGTGGATATTTTCCCTAATTAGTCTTTTAGGACAAAAGCACATTTTTTCTTCTACAGGGAGAAAAATGCATTTGTATCATGCTTGGGCCACTGCTGGTAAATGAGCGACAGTTGCTGCTGCTTACACTGTCAGCACAGCTGTTTGAGTGATGATGGCAGTTATACCTGCCAACCAGGAAGTCAGGAAATGCCCAACCTAAAAACAGGTTGTTTGGAACATTCTGATATTCATAGAAATAGAGTTTAGGTTCCTGAGCCAGCTCATAGCAACTGATAATCCATATGGCACTGGACTCAATGAGAGGATTTATAACTTTTTGTTTTGTGTCTTGTTGTTATCCTTGTAAAAAGAGAACACCTTTCTCTCTACCCCTGTGAATTGGTAATGGGGGGGTGGTTTCCTTCTCAACACTGAGATACCAAGGAGGCCTTTACCTCCTTTGCACCTCTTAGGTTCAGAGGGTTTTCCTCTTCCTGCACCTACAACCCTGTGCCTTGGTGTAAGTGGCAACAGTGACCAAAACATAGGACCTTTCTTGCTGTAGGTATTTGCAACCGGAACGTTTGATGATAATGTACATTTTTGACATTTGTCATCAGTCACTAGTTTTTTTTTTTTTAAGCAGAGTCAGGACTTAGACTAAAAATTATATATACACATATATAGAGCCTGAACAATCAAATCAGTAAATTTGCAAATGAAATAGCCTTTTTTAGTCCAAGTTGGATTGTGGTTTATATTAGATTTTGGGTATAATTTTCTTTATTTGAATGTCTAATATGCAGGTTTAGGGTTAAGTTACTTATGAACTACCATTGTTTTATTTCTTGGGTTTCAGCAAGTAAACAGTAACAGGGCCTTGGGGCTGTCAGTTTTTAGTTGCCCTTCTTTGGTCAAAAGCCACTATTTTGTAATTTTATAATCTTTTCTGTATTTTCTTTTTTTTTAAGGTTTATTTATTTATTTGAAAGAGTTACAGAGCAGTAGAGAGAGAGATGGAGAGAGAGAGAGAGAAGGGGGGAGAGAGAGAGAGAGAGAGATATCTTCCATCTGCTGGTTCACTCCCCGAAAGGCTACAGTGGCTGGAGTTGGGCTAATGTGAAGCCAGGAGCCAGGAGCTTCTTCTGGGTCTCTTCCGTGGGTGAAGGGGCCCAAGGACTTGAACCACCTTCTGCTGCTTTCCCAGGTGTATTAGCAGGGAGCTGGACCTGAAGTGGAGCAGTCAGGACTTGAACTCGTGCCTGTATGGGATGCAGGCACTGCAAGTGGTGGCTTTACCCGCTGCGCCATGGCACTGGCCCCATTTTCTGTATTTTCTGATTCAACTGTTAGTCTTGGGGTTGTTGGCACCTAATGCATTTATATATCTGTTATTGAGTAAAATAGCTATTCTTTTTTACCTGTATTTTAAAAATAATTATATAAATTAGTGATTGTCCCAATTGAGGATAGATTTTGTACTCATAATTTTTAGATTAGCCAACTGAATTCTTTCCTTAGCAGAAAAGAAAACAGCCCCTTCTACCTTTATGGCTTCTGTAATATGCTTTATTGTGTTTGCACCATACATTCTAGGGTTTTTTACGCATATTCTATTAGATGAAGCTGCCCAGGCCATGGAGTGTGAAACCATTATGCCTCTAGCATTAGCAACTAAAAACACTCGGATTGTCTTGGCTGGTGATCACATGCAGGTGAGTGTCCTCTGAGTCACTCTATGGAAGTAACTTTTAGTTATATGTACATTTCATTTTACTTGAAAGGCAGAGAGACAGAGAGCTATCTTCCATCTGCTGGTTCACTCCCCAAAGGCCTGCAATAGCCAGGGCTGGGCCAGGCTGAAGTCAGTAACCTGGGACTCAGTCCAGGTCTCATGTGAGTGCAAAGGACCCTGGGTACTCGAGACATCACCTGGTGCATCCCAGGATGCATTAGCAGGAAGCTGGATCAGAAATTGAGTAGCTGGAACTTGAACCAGGCACTCCAGTGTGGCACTCCAGTGTGTGATAGGAGTATCTTAGCGGCAGCTTACCTGGCTGCACCATAACACCCGCCCCCAAAGTAGTTTAATTTTCTTTCGTAGTGGTAGAAGGCATAACTAAGAATGACTCCTTACACTTCATGTGATCAAGATGGTTGTTTGTTAGTTATTAACAATATTTGTTTTTTCAGTCATAGACTTTATGTTTTATTATCACAACAATTCAAATAATTGATTTTAGTTACTGAAATAGTTTTTTGTTATGTTGGATGAGGTTTTTCTTTCTGTTTTTTTTTTTTTTTCTTTTAAACATTTTTTTATTTCTTTGAAAGTCAGAGTTACACAGAGAGAGGAGAGGCAGAGAGAGAGAGAGAAGTCTTCCATCCACTGGTTCACTCCCCAGTTGGCTGCAACGGCTGGAGCTGCGCCAATCCAAAGCCAGGAGCCAGGAGCTTCTTCCTGGTCTCCCACGTAGGTGCAGGGGCCCAAGGACTTGGGCCATCTTCTGCTTTCCCAGACCATGGCAGAGAGCGGATCCGAAGAGGAGCAGCCAGGACTTGAACTGGCGCCCCTATGGGATGCCGGCACTGGAGGCGGCAGCTTTACCCTCTATGCCACAGTGCCGGCCCCTGGTGAGGTTTTTCTTAACCTATGTGTAGAAACTCTAGCTTGGTATTTGTATACTGTGATGAAAGAACGTTCTGTTTAGTTGTTTACCGTAGTAACATTGTTCATAGAAAACCTTACCGAGTTTTCATACTGGAATATTCAGCATGGTGAGATTTAGTACATCAAAAGCTTTAGCAGAGTGGTTTTTATAAGCTGGTTGAAAATGCTGTTTGTATATTTAGTTAAATATTCTCTGTTTGTCTGTTACAGCTCAGTCCTTTTGTTTACAGCGAGTTTGCCAGGGAGAGAAACCTTCATGTTTCGTTACTTGATCGACTCTATGAGCATTACCCTGCTGAGTTTCCATGTAGGATCCTCCTGTGTGAGAACTACCGCTCCCATGAAGCTATCATCAAGTGGGTGTGACCGTCCCCTCGGTGACTCTCTCCCTGGTCTGGTGGGAGGTCCCGATTTTTCCCAAGAGTAGTATGGTGTCCATGTTGTTGCAAGTTATATTTAATGTTATGTCTTTTAAAAGAACCCTTCAAAAGTCAGAGTTGTATTTTCTACAACATAGGGCAATTCTTGAAACTAAAATTTTAGGTTCCTTGAGCCATAACATATCTTTTTTTCTGTGACTGAGTATAGAATCATGAAAAACTACATGCTGTAATAAGCAAATATATTTTCAAACCATATAGTGGTTTGCTTATGTGTCTATGGCTGAGTTCTGTAAGGAAGCCTTTTTAAAAGAAAGTAAGAAAGGAAAGAAAAAAGGGAGAAACATTGTGAAACTTATCAGTAAGTTTTGGAAAGATTTCTATTAAATATAGTGTGCATGTGTAACAATGAATGTATTGTAAGTGACAGTTGAGTGACGAGTAAACCTCCTGTGTGTAACCAGCATCCAGGTCAAGAGACAGCATTGCCACGGCATGTGGAGGGATGCTTCAGGCACCTTGCCAGTTGCTACCCTTACCAGAAGCTTACAGTTTTTAAAGTTTAGTATAATTGATTAATACGGATTGTGTAAGTCATGTGAAACAACGTTTCGGTTTCTTTGAAAAAGATTGTATAGTTTTAATTTTATCAGTATCCCAAATCCCGAAATGTGGTTCCTCTTTTATCATTGCCAGTAGGCGGCTGTAGTCAGGGTGAGTCAAGTCCCGGAGGGCTGTGCTCTTCAGTGAAGGATGCTTGGTTTCACACTTCAAGACCTGCCTGTCGGCTGGTTGTGTGCATTGTTCCAGTGTCTGTACATCTGTGTGTTTGCGTGTAGACGATACACTAGGTAAAAATACGTATTCACCATGAAAGTATGCCGCCTAGAAATTCCCTCTTGGAACAAAGTTCTCGTCTAGTATTGAATTGTTTTCTTCTCTCCTTTTTCTTTCTATATTCTGGCTTTGTACCTTACCAAAATCAATGCATTTAACAACGGTTTACCAGCGCCTGCTTTGTAGTTCTTGTTATAGTTACTTTTGGAGAAGTTCTTGGCATCACAGATACCAGATGTTTGGACTAAAATTAATCATGGACATAAAGCAGTATTATCAAGAAGTGACTGATTTCTTTTATGGGTAAAATTCATTTTGATGATAGATTATTCTTTTCCCCCCATTTTTTCTTTTTCTGCAGTTACACTTCTGAGCTTTTCTATGAGGGTAAACTGATGGCCAGTGGGAAGCAGCCAGCACATAAGGATTTCTACCCATTGACTTTCTTTACAGCACGAGGGGAGGACGTACAAGAGAAAAATAGCACAGCTTTTTACAATAATGCAGAGGTACCATAGTTCTTTCTGAAAATTGAGCAATTTTCTCAGTTACATACTACGGTTTTGTTGAGCATGTTTCTAAAATTTGGGTTGACATTTTATCAAGTATCGACTTCATTAACATGAAAATGGTGTAAAGTTTATTCTTTTTTGTATGACATTGATTTGTTAAGATGAATCTGCTGTGGGAAACAAAAACTGATTTACTTTTTGTCTTGGGATAAAACACAAAATACATGACTTCATTTGAAAGAAAAGCCAGAATTCTTCTCTGATAGATAATTATTGTCAGGCATCTAAAAGAGACTGACTCTAATTAAATTTTGTAGTACATTCTCAAATGTGGTATCATTTTTAATGAGTAAAACCTGAATTGCAGAATCCTGTGCACCGAGGAGATCACACAGAACTGGATAATGATGTTGATATCCCCTTATATGCTCCAACTTACACAGTTCTCTCTCTGTTTCTGGCTTCTGAAGTTCAGAATGTACAGTGTGAGGGGTCTGGCCAGGCAGCACACAGAAATCATGGTGAAGTCCGTAGGGACGAGGGGCTCAGCAGCCCTGGGGCCAAAGTTGTGGCAGACACAGTTGACCCCAGGAGACCCGAGCAGGGAGGTGTGCGTGGGTGGCCATTAGGGGATGACTCTGAATCTCCCACCTTTGCACTCCATGCTCTACTCACTTTGTTTAAAGAAATGATGTCCATTATTTATTGTGGATTATCCTGCATTTAATAAATGGTTCCAAAGCCCATAGTTAGAAGTCAGTACAAGAAAATCATCAGAACTCACTAGATAAATATCCTAGTCAAGGGCAAAGAAACTTGACATTTTACTTAGTCTGTGCCATTTAATTTTAGGAAAAGGTAAAGTTTTGAAATGAACTCTAAGGATCCTCCTTTATTGTTTTTAGAGTCAGTCCTGGAAAGTGGCTGTGGTAGTGGGTCGGAGGCTGACAGGGAGCAGCCAGCTGGGCCTGGAATCTGGAAGGCTTGGTGGTCCTGCTGGGACATCGGGGGTCAGAGCTGGACCTGAGCCCCAGGCCAGGTTGATAGTTGCTGGAAGCTCAGTCCTTCAGCCTGACTTGTCCCTTCACAGTGACGTGGCGTGTTCCCTTCACAGTGACATGGCGTGTTTCCCAGGAAGCCTGCGAGCCGTAGGATAAAGTGCATCTGCTTGGACTGTCCATTTCACTCAGAAATTGGTTTTGGAAAAATGTGATTTTTCATTGTTAAAAAAACAAACCACAAAGACAACATTTGTGTGACCTTTAAATATTAACCATGTAACTTTGGAGACATTTCATGCTGTCTTGAGTTTCACCAGAGCATGGCTGCTCAGTCTCTCTCCCCAGCATAATGCGCTAACGCAGCCAAATGTTTTGAGACACATTGCCCCCAGGGACCCTCTCCACAATGGGCACAAGCAAATCCTGTTCACTGCAACTAAGTATCAGTTTTCTGCATATGTGGACACGAGGGCAGGCACATTTGAACAGTCATATTTTTAGAAGTCCTGGACTTTCCTTGATGATATGTAATTCAAAGGTGGAATTCAAATATCTTTCTTTCTTTTTTTTTTTAAAAAAAAAGCAAAGCAAGCAACACAAGAGGTATCAGTTGCATTGATGGGGAAAAAAGTGAGAGCCCCTGTTTTATAAAGATTCTGACTAAAATTTAGGAAGATGTTCGAGAACAGCTTAAAATTCACTATTATGAAGTCTTAGCTTGTAATCAAAGTGAGCTTAAAATGGAGGTAGGAATTAAAAGTAAAATTAAAGTACCTGAAGATGAAGGAGTACAGATAGCTTTTTTTGCTGTGTGTAATTCTTACTTTAGCGAGCATGTTTTAAATTTTGTGTCAAGTGCTTTGTACATCATCAGAACTTGCTTCAGATGGTGGAGTGAGAGTGAGGAAGGTCATCTCCTCGTCTTTGGTTGCGAATTCACATCCCACAATAATGAAATGGTCTCAGTTTAATGCTAAGTTGAGAAACACAGCAAGATTTAAATAAGCTTTGAGATAGGATTCTCTGAGAAATTCGGTCTGAAGGGAGGAGCAAAGGAAACAAGTCACCTCGAGGTAGTGTAAGTGGGAGGCAGACAAAGCCGTGCAGGTGCAGGTATGAGAAGTGAGTCCATCAGGTGTTCTACGACCCGAGGCAGAGTGGAAAATGCCTGCTATGTTTGGAGATTCTGTAGTTTCTAGAGTTTGCCATGTTAACCTTATTGCTTCTTTCTGTGGATTTGGGTCTAAGGCTGTCCTCCTGTTAACATGTTGTTGGATCTTGGGGTTTTCTTCTCTTTTTAAAAAATGTAGTCTAAAAGTATCTGCCATTTGATTGGATTGTTTAATCCATTCATGCTTTAAAAAGTGATTTTATTTTACTTATTTGAAAGGTAGAGGGATAGATGGGGGAGAGAGAGAGAAAGAGAGATCCATTTACTGGTTCACTCCCCCAAATGACTACAACGGCTGGTGCTGGGCCAGGCCAAAGCCAAGGGCCTGGAACTCTGTCCTGGTCTCCCTCGTGGGCATCAGATGCCTAAGCACATGGGCCATCTTTCACTACTTTCTGAGGAGTATTAGCAGGGAGCTGGGTCGGAAGTAGAGCAGCTAGAATTTGAACTGGCGCTCCAATATGAGGTGCAGTGTTGCTGGCGGTGGCTTAACCCACTGCACTACAACGCTACCCAACTCGTTTGCACGTAATGCTATTTATAGTATGGTTGGGTTTTCCTCTGACTTTTGTTTTTCTTCCGTGTCTCTTGTAGTTTTTGGCCCTCTGTTTCATCTTTACTGCCACCTTTTGTATTAAGTATGTGTTTTCTAGTGTTACATTTTAATTCAACTATTTTTTGAATTGTTTTCTTAGTGGCTTCTCTGGGGCTTACAGTATATATCTTGTCAGAATCTACTTCAAATTTATACTAACCTAATTCCAATGAGATATAGAAACTTTTTAAAAAAATTATTTGAAAGGCAGAGTTACAAAGAGGTAGAGATGGATTGATTGAAGGAGGGAGGAAGAGAGAGGGAGAGAGAGAGAGAGAGAGAGAGAGAGAGATATTTTCCAGCCACTGATTTATTCCCCGAATGGCTGCTGGGGCTGGGCCAGGCTAAAGCCAGGAACCTAGAACTCCATCTTGGTCTCCCATGTGGGTGGCAGGGGCTCACATACTCGGGCTGTCTGCTGCTGCTTTCCCAGGCACGTTATCAGGAAGTTGGAAGCAGGGCAGCCAGGACTTGAATTGATAACTGTTATGTGATGGATTATGGGATGTCGGCATCACAAATGATGGGTTACCTGCTGTGCCACAGTGCGGGTCCCTGTGACGTAGTTACTCTCTAGTACTTCCTGTGCTATTACTGTTGTACATATTATACTGAAATATATTACAAACTGAACAATATACTTTTCTAATTATTACTTTGTATAATTTTATGTCTTTTAAGAATTCTGAGAGAAGAAAGGGTCATGTATATTTGTGGTTTGTCATATTATCCTCCTTATTTACTGTTTTGGATTCTCTTCTCTGAGTCTCTGTAGATTTGAGTTACCAACTGATGTGCTGTTATTTTCAAACATTTCTACAAGTTGTAGCCTAACACAATCACATACATATTGCTTTATGCAATTGCTCTTTAAATCAGTTAAGAGGAGAAGGAATTAGAGATGTGCTTTATACTGTCATTATCCACATAATTATCTTTGTAGCAGCACTTTTGTGAGGCTTTGAATTACTGTCTAGCATCTTTTGCTTTCGGCTAGAACTTTAGTATATCTGTGAGTTTGCTCCTAAGGAGCTCTTTTAGGCTTCGCTTATTTGGTAATATGTTTATTTTGCTTTAATTTGTGAAAGATAGGTTTGGTAGATAAAAGATTGTTGGTTGAGTTTTTCTTTTAGCATATCCACTGCTTTCTGGCCTCCATGTTTTTTTTTTTTTTTTTTTTTTTTTAATAATTTATTTGACAGGTAGAGTTAGTGAGAGAGAGAGAGACAGAGAGAAAGGTCTTCCTTCCATTGGTTCACTCCCCAAATGGCTGCCACGGCCGGATCCGAAGCCAGGAGCCAGGTGCTTCTCCCTGGTCTCCCATGCGGGTGCAGGGGCCCAAGCACTTGGGCCATCCTCCACTGCCCTCCCGGGCCACAGCAGAGAGCTGGACTGGAAAAGGTGCAACCAGGACTAGAACCCGGCGTCCATATGGGATGCCGGCGCTGCAGGTGGAGGATTAACCAAGTGAGCCATGGCACCGGCCCCCTTGTTTGTTTGTTTGTTTTTTTTTTTTTTTTAAGTTATCTGTTAACCCTGTTGGAATTCCTTTTTAAGTTATTCTCTGGCTAGTGTCATGATTCTGTTTTACCTTTAACTTTCACCATTTTGATGCTGGTACGTCTGAGTGTGGATCTCCTTGCATGTATCCTACTTGAAGTTCATTAAGCTTGGATGTTGTAAGTCAGTGTTTTTCATCAAATATGGAAAAATTCTGGTCGTACTTTGAATGCTTTTTCTGCTCTTGTCTGTCTCTCCTGTTATATGTATTGGTGAGCTCAATGCTGTCCTACATTTCTCTGAGGCTTTGTTCATTTTTTTAATAAAAATTTATTTATGTATTTGAAAGAGTTACACAGAGAAGGAAGGAGAGTCACAGAGAGAGAGGTCTTCCACCTGCTGGTTCACTCCCCAGATGGCCGCTGCAACTGGAGATGTAACGATCCAAAAGCCAGGAGCCAGGAGCTTCTGGGTCTCCCCTGTGGATGCAGGGGTCCAAGGACTTGGGCCATCTTCCACTGCTTTCCCAGGCCATAGCAGAGAGCTGGATGGGAAGTGGAGCAGCCGGGATAGAACCGGTGCCCACATGGGATGCCGGCACTGCAGGTGGCAGCTCTATCTGTTACACCACAGCATCGGCCCCTGTTCATTTTTCTTATATTTCTCTCTGTTTTTCAGATTGCAGAATTTCTGTCTTTACTTTTGCTGATTCATTTAGTCTCCTATTGAGTCCTGCTAGTAAAATTTTCATTTCAATTACTTTACTTTCCAACTCCCTGGGTCATGTATTGCTCCCCAGTGTGATTTAATGGAAGCGAAGTCCCTTGGCAGAGGGCAGAGTATTGCCAGTTTGTGAGGCTTATGCTCCTCCTCTCCCCAGGCTGAACTTATGGAGCGGTTGGGGAGGGTGAGGAGGAGGTCTGTCTGTTGCGCCTGCACCCGCCCCATGAAATAGGAGCTGTATGTGTTTGTGCGAATGTGTGTGTGTTTGTGTATATGGACGCAGGAGATCCATGCTGCCATCTAGGTGCTACCACATGACTGCTGCCACTGCTCAGTATCAATCTGTGTGACCGAGACAGAAGAGGTTGGGGTTTGCTGATGTTCCCTGGCCTGAGTGTGCCCCAGGTGGTCTCCTGTCCTGCAGGAAGATGGAATTGTGACTCAGCTGTCCAGCCCGTTGGTTCTTCTGTCCTGCAGTACAGAGCTGTGTAGCAGAAGATGGGACAGGGAAGTAGGGATGTCCCAGCTCCTGCCAGTTGATCTGTGCAGGCCTTCTGTAGCACAGAGCCTTGGTATGGGGGGGGGGGGTCTTTTGAGGTCTACCAGCTGCCATAACCACCGGGAGTAGCTCTTTCATCCTGGAAAGAGTTGGGAGCTGCACCTCGGTTGTTCAGGAAGTTCTGTAAGTCGGAGTTCTGGTGGGGGTGGGGCACTGGCAGTGGGGTAGTCCCTTACTTGAATGCCTTGGCCTCCCACTCTTCTTTCTGAGTTTCTGAGATTTGGTTGAGTAAAATGTTTCACAATTTCTTATAACTATTTGATCAATCTCCAGACTGCTTATTTTGAACAGTTTAGAAGATGACTCGTGCTGCTGTTCCAGGTTTAGGTGTTTGATGACAGTTTATGCTGCCTAGAATATAAGGGTGTGAAGAAAGCGGAGAAATAGCAATGTGTTGCTTGGTGATAGGAATTGTTACGTGCATGGCAGGTATCTCCCAACTATGATCTGCTCCCTCCCACCCCCTTGTACCTGACCACATAAGTAGAAACCGTTTTTTTCCTTATTCCTAGTTGGAGTAGACTCAGCCTCACCTTTCCCATTCCTTGTAGTGAGGATAGCAGCCAGTCTTTAGTCTGTTTTGCTCTTCAGAATCCTTGAGCAGTTTGTTATTTGATAGACTCTGTTGTGGCATCCTAACAATAGGACAACTGCAGTCTAACTCTGTTGTTCATTGAATTAGGAAGTGGAAACTGCTTCCGAGCCAATGATCTTCAAGTTCATGAAAAGATAAACATTTTCAGATTTTATTAAGTGATTTACCATTGTAAATTTAAATGGATAATGCTCATCAATTATAAATAATGTACTTAAAGAACATCTGTCTTTATTTTCATATTATTTAAAGTGCAGAGAGAGCTTTCATGTGCTGGGTCACACCCCAAATGCCTGCAACAGTCAGGGCTGAGCTGGGCCAAAGCCAGGACTCTGGCACTCCATCTGTCTCCCGTGTGGGTGTCAGGGACCAAATCATCATGCGCATCTTAGGATGTGTGTTAGCATGAAGTTGCATCAGAAATAGAGTGGAACATATTTTATAATCTCATATCCCCCACTACACCAAACATCGAAACAGCTTGGTTGGTTCATAAATTAAAATATATTTGAGAGGTGAGTGAGTGGCCTACCAGTTAAGTACCTTTTTCCTGTAATGGAGTTCTTGAGTTTGATTACCAACTGTGCTTTTGACTCCAGTTTCCTACTAATGCAGACTGTGACGGCTCAGGTAACTTAGTTCCTGCCACCCATGTGGGAGACCTGTATTGGGTGCTTGGCTCCTAGGTTTGACCTCAGCTAGGGGCTGTTCTGGCATTTGAGGAGTGAACCCATAGGTGGTAGCTTCCTCTTTTTCTGTTTCTTTGTCGGCTTCTAAGATAAAACCAAACTACACTAAAAAGCCTACCCTAATTCAGTAAGTAGGGTTTAAAAAATTCAGTTGCATAAAATATGGTGTTACTTTACTGAAAGGTTACATGAATTGGATTGGCTGAACTCGTACTACTAGAAAGAGTGAATTCTGAAAATCTGTCTCTCTGATTCAAATTTGGCTTAGTCCTAGCTGTGGTTTGGTGTTAGCTGGTGACTGTTGGCTGGCCTGCTTTGTTATCTGAGGATTGGTCTTTGGGACTTACTGGTGCACTGATTACAGCCTGATCCAGAGCGAATGAACTAGGAAATACGGGGCATGTGGGGACATGCTTCCCTGCTCTCCTACTTACACTGGATCTTGAGCCTGTTGCCGTTTTTTTTTTTTTTTTTTTTTGACAGGCAGAGTTAGTGAGAGAGAGAGAGAAAGGTATCCCCTTTTTTTCCCCCCATTGGTTCACCCCCTAAATGGCCACTATGGCTGGCTCGCTGTGCCGATTCGAAGCCAGGAGCCTGGTGCTTCCTCCTGGTCTCTGGTGCGGGTGCAGGGCCCAAGGACCTGGGCCATCCTCCACTGTACTCCCGGGCCACAGCAGAGAGCTGGACTGGAAGAGGAGCAACTGGGACAGAATCCAGTGCCCCAACCGGGACTAGAACCTGGGTGGCGCCGCAGGCCAAGGATTAGCCAAGGGAGCCGCGGTGCCAGCCAAGCCTGTTGCCATTTAAGAACAGGGATTGAGTGAAGGTTGGGGGCCAGTTGCATTATCTCTAATTTTTATGTTTTCATTGGTTGTATAATTGTTACAAATATAAATAAAATGTTTTTATTTTTACTGTGTTCATAGCAGGGAAGCTTTGTTTCCATTTTGAGATAGTTTTTTAATGGCATGTGCTACAATGAGATACTTTATACATCTGTTGCAGTTACCATACTCTTTTCTCCAAACACTGGTGGTGATTTTAATATATATGTTTGTTTCAAGGTATTTGAGGTGGTGGAACGTGTGGAAGAGTTAAGAAGGAAGTGGCCAGTGGCGTGGGGGAAGCTGGATGATGGCAGCATTGGTGTGGTGACTCCATACGCTGATCAGGTGTTTAGAATCCGTGCTGAACTTCGAAAAAAGAGGTTATCCGATGTTAATGTGGAAAGGGTGCTCAATGTTCAAGGTGGGTATTTAAGTGAGTTCCGTTGTGCAAAATGTTTAAATCTTAAAGTGTGTTCACATTTGATTTTTAATTCTCAAGATCTTTTTTTCTGGGCCAACAATTATGTATTTGTTTCATTCTAAGTTCTTTAATGTCAAATCTAGCAGTTAAAGGTCGAGCTGATTTACATGTTTATTAAATTTTTATATTCAAATAAAAGGATATAAAAATTAACAAATCACCATAGTATCTGTAGGCATTAGTTTCAATCAGAATAACACATAACACATTCTGTTGTTATAGCGCACCTGAGGACTGATTTCTTCATAAAGATTTTACATAAAAATTTCCCAAGTGAATAGTTAACAGTAACTCTTTTAAATTGTCTTCATATAATTAGTGCTATAAAATGTGTGCATTTAAATATATGAAGAAACACCATGCAAGTGCTGATAAAAGATCAGAATGACGTTGAGTTTCATGGTAATACAGAAGAGTAACACAGTGTCTACATCTTGGGGGAGCAACCTTCAGCTCCACCATGTCCTATTTCTTTGTCTTTTTTTTTTTTCTGACAGGCAGAGTGGACAGTGAGAGAGAGAGACAGAGAGAAAGGTCTTCCTTTGCCGTTGGTTCACCCTCCAATGGCCGCCGCTGCAGCCGGCGCACCGCGCTGATCCTGGCAGGAGCCAGGAGCCAGGTGCTTTTCCTGGTCTCCCATGGGGTGCAGGGCCCAAGCACCTGGGCCATCCTCCACTGCACTCCCTGGCCATAGCAGAGAGCTGGCCTGGAAGAGGGGCAACCGGGACAGAATCCAGCGCCCCAACCGGGACTAGAACCCGGTGTGCCGGCGCCGCAAGGTGGAGGATTAGCCTATTGAGCCACGGCGCCGGCTCTCCACCATGTCTTCTCTAGACCACACAAAGTCTGGGCAGGTGTTTAGAAAGAAGATTAGCAATAATCTAAAAGCACACAGAGGAGGTCTAGGATAGTGGGTAGTCTAGAAGCTTCTGTTTGAGACTCAGGATTGGTTGAAAGAACTGGTAGAATTGTTTGGCCTGGAACAGAGAAGGCTTGGCACTGACATGCAAATGATATTCAGATATTTGGAGACTTGTCATAGAATGAGGGAATAGCTGTTTTCCTATAAGAAGAGCATAAGACAAATTAGACTCTGTAAGGCTTCCTTCTCTATTGCCTTTGTCGGGCAAGGCTGGTTTAACTGGCTTCTAGGAAGGGGCCTTGCATTGGTGGGGCTTTAGACTAGGTGATCCCTGAGGGTGGTTGCAGTAATAACACTAAAATTTTTTCTACCGTGATAAAATACACATAGCAAAATTTCTCATGTTAGGCGTTTTTGTGTGTATAGCTCTGCTGTGTGAGGTGTACTCACGTTTGTACCGTCTCCACCATCCGTCTCCAGCACCTTTTTCATCTTCCCAAGCTGAAACTCCGTGCCATTAAATATAAACTCCCATTTTTCCTTCCATCCTGTCCCTGGCAATGACCATTCCACTTCCACCGTATCCATTTTTCGTTTTTAAAAATTTTATTTGAAAGGTAGACTTACAGCGAGAGAGGGAGAGGCAGAGAGGTCTTCCATCCACTAGTTCACTCTCCAGATGGCCACAACTGCCGAGGCTGGGCCAGGCCAGGCCAAAACCAGGAACAGGGACCCAAACACTTGAGCCATCTTCTGCTACTTTTCTAGGCCATTAGCAAGGAGCTGGATCAGAAGTGGAGCAGCTAGAACTCAAACTGGCATCTATATGGGATGTGGCACTGCAAGCAGTAGCTTAACCCACTACACTGCAAGGCCAGCCCTCTGTGTATCAACTTAACTGTTCTAAGTACCTCATGTAAGTGCAGTTATGTAGTGTAGATTGAATATCCCTTATTTGGGACCAGAAGTGTTTCAGATTTGAGTTATTCAAAATTTAGGTGTTCAGACTTGATATGCTCAGACTGTGACTGGATTATTTCGCTTAGCACAGTGTCTTCAAGATTTATCTGTGCTGTAGTGTGCCTCAGAATTCTGTGCCTTTGTAAGCTTCAGTAGTTCAGGTACCCGTATGCCGCATTCATCTGTCACCTGCCTGTGGACCCCGGGGTTGCTTCCACCTCTTGCTGATGTGTACAATGCGTCTATGAACGTGGTTGTGTAAATAGCTCTTTGAGACCTTGCTGTAGTTCTTTCAGGTGTTTTTCAGCAGTGGAATTGATGGATCGTGTGATAATTGTGTTTAATGTCCTATGGAGCTGGCACGTTGTCTTCCAGGGCTGCGCCATTTTACATCCTGCCAGCTGTGCGTGGTTTCTCTGTGTCCTCACCTCGACACTCCCACCAGTGTTTCCATTTCTCCACATCCTTGCTGACATCTGTTACCCAGCAATGACATTTTTTAAAAAATGCAATGCTTTTATTGTGTCGGTGGTTCAGAATGACAATCTTAAATCTTTGTTCAAAAATTCTTTTTTGTAGGAAAGCAGTTCAGAGTTTTGTTTCTTAGCACAGTACGTACAAGACATACTTGTAAACATAAACAGACACCAATTAAAAAGAAAGAGCAACTTCTGGAAGATTCCACAGAGGACTTAGATTATGGTTTTTTGTCTAACTACAAGCTTCTCAATACTGCCATCACGAGAGCACAGTCCCTGGTTGCTGTGGTGGGTGATCCCATTGCTCTGTGCTCTATTGGAAGATGCAGGTAATTATGTGTTCTGCTGAGACATTACAGGGGCATGGGGACTCATGGGGACTCATGGGGACTCACTTGTGTCCTGTGTACATGTATCTGTGTGGTCCCTGACTAGACCAGGTGTGTGTTTTCAGTACCTGATTCCCAATGGAACACCAAGTGTATTACTTGTGATCTGTTCATTCTCTGCATGGGTGTGTACTCCTTTACTCAGTCATTACTGAACAGATGTGCCCTAGGTGCTTTCCGTAATCTCAGCCACCCTTCTAGCCTCTGAAGGTGACAATGTAGATAAGAATCTCATTTTATTGAGGAGGAGAATTAGACTGATAATAAACTAAGGATATTAAATGGCAAAGAAATAGAACATTAAGAGGAATGGGGAGTGGTGAGGGTGGGGCCGACTGGTTTGTGATCCCAAAGTTTAGTCAGAGTAGTCCTCACTGAGAGGCTGGTTTTTTTTAAACAATTTTATTTTCATTTTATTTTATTTGAAAGAGATCTTTCACTTCCTGATTCGCTTTCCACATGCTGGCAAACATTTGGTGCTAGGCTAGGACAAAGCCAAAGGCTGGAACAGAATCTCCCACTTGGGTGCCAGAGACCAAAGTATCTGAGCCATCACCTGCTGCCTCCGAGAGTGTGCTAGCCACTCTAGAACTGGGTTGGAAGAGGAACAGTCGGGACTCGAACCAGTGTTCACGTGGGTGCCAGCACTGCTGGCAGCGGCTTTACTTGCTATACCACAGTGTCAGCCCCAAAAGATCCATGTCTTAACTGTGAACAATTTTGTTATAGGGGCCAGTAGCAGGTAAAGCTGCCGCCTGCTGTGCCAGTATTTTCATATGGGCGTTGGTTCGAGTCCCAGCTGCTTCATTTCCATTCCAGCTCTCTGCTATGGCTTGGGAAAGCAGTAGAAGATGGCCCAAGTCCTTGGGCCGCTGCACCCACATGGGAGACCCTGGAGGAAGCTCCTGGCTCCTGGCTTCGGATCAGCACAGCTCTGGCTGTTGAGGCCATTTGGGGAGTGAACCAGCGGGTGGAGGACCTCTCTCTCTGTCTCTGCCTCTCCTTCTCTCTCTCTATAACTCTGACTTTCAAATAAATACATGAATAAATCTTTAAAAAATTTTCCATTGTTCCATGTCTTTAATTTTATATTTAAAAAAATAGATTGTAATTCATTTGCAGCTGGTAAAGACAAAACTTGGGGAAAAGAATATATTAATTCTAAATGATACTGAGCAGAACTAAGTATTTGAGTTACTAATTTGGCTTCCATCCTGAGAATTTAAGTTTAATTCCTCTATATTCAAAGTGTATTTGGTCTGAATCTTGTGGTATTTTACCATTTTTGATTATGGTTATCATTTGATATATGAGAAAGCCATAGAGTTTGATTAGAATTTAATATATTAAAACACAGTTACACTGGCGCCGCGGCTCATTAGGCTAATCCTCTGCCTGCGGTGCCGCCACCCCAGGTTCTAGTCCTGGTTGGGGCTCCTGATTCTGTCCTGGTTGCTCCTCTTCCAGTCCAGCTCTCTGCTGTGGCCCGAGAGTGCAGTGGAGGATGGCCCAGGTCCTTGGGCCCTGCACCTGCATGGGAGACCAGGAGGAAGCACTTGGCTCCTGGCTTTGAATCGGTGCAACGCGCTGGCCGCAATGCACTGACTGTAGCAGCCACTTGGGGGGTGAACCAACGGCAAAGGAAGACCTTTCTCTCTGTCTGTCTGTCTGTCTGTCTCTCTCCCTGTCTAACTCTGCCTGTAAGAAACACACACACACACACAGTTACATTCGTTTCTCAGCCTTTTGGCTAAGATCAAGTGTAAAATACAGTTACAGAACAAGATGATCTGTATAAAACATAACTAGAAACAGTTGAAGAAACAAACAGGTATAAGAATGGTTTTTGGGCAGTAAGTTTGAGCTCTCCTTTAAATAACTCCAAATATTTACCAACCTGTTTATTGTTAAAGAAACCGTAACATCTGTCTGTAGTCATACGCCATGAATTGCATGAGATCAGCATTTTTCACCTGTTCTCTGACATAAGTGATTACTTTTTCCAGAGCGAATAGTTAAATAATTCTCCCTGAGGCCATGTTGTCAGAATTACCCAGGGCTCATTTTTAACTTAATGCTGGGTTTACTGCTTGCTTATTTCTTACTACTCAGCTGTGGTGCACCAAGGACTGCATATTAATGTATAAGCTAAGCAAAATATTTTCAGGGAGATAAATATATAATGTCTTCTGTGGCTAATTGGGAATGTTAATTATCTGTTTTACTTGGACAATTTAATCATGAATCTAGCCCAAGAATGGGTAGTTGAGGAGTATGAATATTTAAACTTTAGTCTTAGTGACAAGTAATCTCACAGTGTGAGATTACAACCCAGAGGATGTAGTATAATTTTTGGATCCTTTAAGAATGAGATGAATTCTTAGAAGTTTGAGTCCATAAGGACTTTACTACCCACCCTTTTTTCATTTGATAGTTACAGAAAACTAATATGATATTCCAGACTGTCGAATTTTCAAGGAATAGATGTCTGTAGACTCTGTCAGTTATGTACTCTTGTTTATATTTTCTTCCCTCCCGTTTGCAAAGCTAACAAACACTGATGTGGTCTCTGCTGGCTACTGCTTTAGGTGCTTTGCCCACGTGACCTCACTCAGTCATCCCAGCATTCCTGCAGTATGGGTTTTGTATTTGCATTTTAAGTGGGCAGCCTGATTCAGAGAGTTTAAATAAATGCCCCCAGGTCACATGGCTGTTATGTGGTTAACTTAAATAGGTATCAGACCGACTTCAAAACCAGTGCTGCTCTCTCTGGGTTCTGCTGCCTTTCCCAAGAAGTGAAAAATAGGCCCAGATGAATCGCACTGAAGGGCGGAGGCCAAAGGAGAGTGACTGCATTTCTTCAAATGAATGTGCTTGGAGAAAAACTTCCCTTTCGCTGAACATCTTCATTAGAACGTGTATTTACTCAGTGAATATTCTATGTATGCATAGAGTAGTGTGCTATGTATCTGTGTGTCCACACACAACATAAACACACACACACATTCCTAGGGGTGATCTAAGGACATCAAATGAGTTGTCCATATTTCATCAGTGATCCTGGAAGCAAGATTAATATAAACCAAAATGAAAGTTTGTATTCATGCAGTGATGAAAAGTAAGGTTATGTCCTCTGAATATCTAAAACTATGTTACTGTGTAAGTACACACCTAGGTTCTCTAACATTATTTGAAAAAATTCGTTAATGTGATAGTTAATATGTTAGCCTCCTGAGGAGGGGTGGAGAATTGGGGGAGTCTTTAAACAATGATAGTGATGAATTCTTTCATTCTGGAGGAAATGAAATTCTCAAGTGATCTTCCAGTTCTGTGTGTTCAGAAATGCCTTGTAATGCTGTGCAGAGGATTTCAGCTAAGTGTTGGGGAATTAATTAAAGGGCAATGCAAACACTGTTTGAGAGAGCCATTCCTAAGAGAAAAGTTTTTAGCTTTATAGCTAAGAACTTTAGAAGGAAAAAAGACATTTCTCTCAGAGTTTACAAGGGAGAAACAAGATCTTCTCTATAATAAGGAATAATAATAATCCTGCTGGTGCTCTGTTATACACACTAGTTGTGTAGGTTAAGTGATTTGCCGAAGTCACACAGCTGCTGAGTGACAGGGCCACCATGTCAGTCTAGTTCTAGACTCCATGTACCTGACGGTTATGCTGCATCAATGGGGCAATAAAAAAACAAGTCAGATTTAAAATGTATATTTCAGGTTATTTTTAGAACTATGTTAACTCCATTAACTTAGAGTAAATGTTTAGTGTTAACTTCTCAGATGGTCCCCCCCCCCCCATATTTAAAGGTTTATTTATTTATTTGAAAGAGTTACACAGAGAGAGAAGCAGAGAGAGAGAGAGAGAGAGAGAGAGAGAGGTCTTCATCCAATAGTTCACTCCCCAATTGGCCGCAACGGCTGGAGCTGCATCCATCTGAAGCCAAGAACCAGGAGCTTCTTCCAGGTCTCCCACGTGGGTGCAGGGGCCCAAGGAGTTGGGCCATCTTTTACTGCTTTCCCAGGCCATAGCAGAGAGGGGAAGTGGAGCAGCGGGGACTCGAACTGGTGCCCACATGGGATGCCGGTGCTGCAGGCGGTGGCTTTGCCCACTACACCATAGCACCGGCCCCTCAGATGGGGTCCTTTAGCTTGATGTCTATTATTTGAGACTCCTGGGGTAGTATAAATGAAGACTGTCACTGATCCACCGCTAGCTTCTGGTGAATTGTGAGGTGTTTTGAAGGTTCTGCTTAACTTAGTTACTTTAGATTCTGTTCAGTGCAGTTGAGAACAGTATAGGGACAAGATACGGAGTTTTGACATTATGTGTAATGAGGAATTGATACTAAAAACTGAGCAAAGAGAGTAAAAGCCAGTCTGTTGTTTTCTTGTTCTGTTTTGTCTTGAAGTCCAGTGCAGACATGAAATGCCACTTTACAAAACTTCATACCTTGTACCAAAACAAAATTCTTTAAAAAAATTTTTTTTTAAGATTTGCTTATTTATTTGAGAGGGAGAGTTACAGAAAGAGGAAGAGACAGAGAGAGAGGTCTTCCATTTGCTAGTTTGCTACCAGATGGCCAACAGCTAGAGCTGGGCCAATCTAAAACCAGGATCCAGGAGCTTCTTCTGGGTCTCCCCATGAGTGGGCCATCTCCCACTGCTTTTCCAAGCCATAAGCAAAGAGCTGGATCAGAAGAGGAGCAGCCAGGACACAAGTGAGTGCCTATATGGGATACTAGTGCCACAAAGGAGGCCACAGTGCTGGCCCCACAAAATTCTTTTGGAAGATACCATACTTATAATAGTAGAAGTGTTGATAAATCTGTACACTTTAATATGTGTCTCTTCTTATATAATGCTAACCCTTTCTTGGGTTCTCTCATGTGATTATGAGAGAAAAAAAAAAAACCTTGATTCTTTCAGAAGGGTCCTTTTTAAAAAAAAAAAAAAGATTTATATATTTATTTGAAAGTCAGAGTTACACAGAGAGAAGGAGAGGCAGAGAGAGAGAGTTCTTCCATCTGCTGGTTCACTCCCCAGTTGGCCACAACTGCCGGAGCTACCCCGATCCGAAGCCAGGAGCCAGGAGTTTCTTCCGGGTCTCCCAAGTGGGTGCAGGGGCCCAAGGAGTTGGGCCATCTTCTGCTGCTTTCCCAGGCACATTCGTAGGGAGCTGGATCAGAAATGGAGCAGCCAGGACTCGAACCGGTGCCCATATGGGATGTTGGTACTGCAGACGGTGGCTTTACCCACTACACCACAGCGCTGGCCCTGTATCATATATTTTAAAGCTAAAATACTAAACCATCATTTGAACCTTATATTAAACCTTGTTATAAGCATATGTGTGTTTATAATAGTAGCTTAAAAATTTTAAGACTTCTTATATGTTTTGTAATACATATTTAATAGCTTTAGTATTTGGAGATCAATTTTTAAATCTTTAGTAGCATTAGTGTATGACTGCAATAGGTTTTGAGTCTGTTTTTCTTCTTTAGCATTTATTAATTTGATTTAGAAATGGTCAGCATTAAAATTGGCATGCCAACCTCCTGTATTTTCCATAATTCTTTTGACTTATAACTTATTCAATTAATGTTGTGCTTGTGTAAGAGAAAAATATTTGAATAGCTGGTTATTTTCTAAGAATCCTCATGAGGCTCTCTACTTTGTAGCACAAATTTGTGCCCTGAGCTGGCTTTTCTTAGTCATCTAGTACCTGGCTAATTTGAATTTGCAATTCAGATATATAGGCATTTATGTGTGCATCTACATATGTATGTATGTGTCTGTGCATATCAATTTGAATTGTATAAATCATATTGAGTTATATATAGTAGGTGTATGTAGGTGGATATATGAAGAGGCTTCAAAAATTGGAAAATGTGCATATCTTTTAATTCTATTTTCCATGAACTTTTTGAAACTATTGCATATACATGTATGTATCTACGTATGTGTGGGTATACCTAGAAGTACACGTTCACTGTAGTGAGCTCCATGAGTTTTAAAGTCCTTACGTACTATGTAGATAGCAGAAGTCGTCGTTCTGGCTTACACAGGTAGTTGAGTGTTGACCGTGTTACTTGCACTCAGGAGCCAGAATTGCTCAAGAGCGTCTTTTACGTGTGCTGTGATGCTAGGAAGGACAGTGGTTTCAGAACAAGTCCGTACTTCTTGTGAGCTGGGAGAGAGACCACAGCTGCATCTTAGTCATCCGACTCCTGCACTTGGGCTGTGGGGTGGTGGTGGTGGGAGAATTTGAAATTAGATAAAGTAACTAATCTTTCCTGTAGGAAATTCTGGGAGCGTTTCATTGCGCTGTGCCATGAAAACAACAGCCTGCATGGGATCACTTCGGAGCAGATCAAGGCTCAGCTGGAGGCTCTAGAGCTGAAGAAGACGTATGTGTTGAACCCGCTGGCCCCTGAGTTTGTCCCCCGGGCTCTCCGACTGCAGCATTCAGGCAGCATCAGCAAACAGCCGCCGTCACCACCCAAGGTAAAGGCTCTGCTCATGGGGCTGGAGAGCTTACAGGGCGAGAACAGTGCAGCGGTATCGGAGGTTTATCAGGCTTCACGTTACTCTAAGTACTGGAACTGAAGGCTGCATGTGGCAGTAAATGGTTTCTGAAAGGAACTGTCTAGATTCGGACATGCAAGTGAAAATATGAAATAGTGTTTAGCCAAGCTGCTGTCACAGTCATCCTCAAGAAGTCCTAGAATTCACTTCTGGATGTGAATGAAACAAAGCCATTTAGAAGATTATCAGGGGCGGTGTTTGGCCTAGGAGTTAGAACACCCACATCCCCTGTGATACCGCCTGAGTTCGTCTGGCTCTGCTCCTGACTCTGGCTAGTTTCCTATGACGTGCACCTTGGGAAGCAGCAGGGATGGCTCAGGTAGTCAGTTCCCTGAAGCTCGTTTGGGTGACCCCGATTGAGTTCCTGGCTCCCAGCTTTGGCGTTGCACAGTCATTGTGGGTGTTAGGGGAGTGGACCAGCTGATGACAGTGGACTCCGCCTGCCTGCTTGCCTGTGCCTTTCTGCCTCTCATATTAAAAACTATATAAATATTAAAGATTATCATACTTATTAAACTATGTCCTAACAACATATTATTTACAACAAATACTGCTCTAAGAACCGTATTTGTATAAAGAAAGTAATTCAAATCCTTGTTTCATCACAAGTGGTAATTGGCACAGGAACAAATTTGTCTTTATTTTTAAAATTTATTTGATTTTATTTAAAAGAGGACAGAGAGAGAGAGAGAGAGAGAGAGGTCTTCCATCCATTGGTTTACTCCCTATATGGCAACAACAGCCAGAGCTGAGTCAATCCGAAGCCAGTAGCCAAGAGTTTCTTCCGGGTCTCCCACGTGGGTGCAGGGATCCAAGAACTTGGGCCATCTTCTGCTGCTTTCCCAGACCATAGCAGAGAGCTGGATCTGAAGTGGAGCAGCCAGGACTTGAACCGGTGCCCATATGGGATGCTGGCACTGCAGGCTGGGGCTTTAACCTGCTGCACCACAGCGTTGGTCCCTAGCTGACTTCTTGAAGATGATACTTCATTGATCATGACCTATATTTGCTATATAGAAGGAGCCTGGTTAAAGGGAGTGCTGGTGGGGCAGTCAATGCTTTTCCCACTGTGAGCCATAGTTAATCTTGGACAGAGGCATCTGGCTTATTTGCTACAGTGTCTGGGAAAAAAAAAGCTTGCACTTTTCAGATAGCATGAAGGTTCTGAGAATGGCATGTTGTGTGTGTGTTCTAAATTTCTGTGTACTTACAGCCATCAGCGTGTCACGAGTTAAAAGACTGTCAGTTTTGAGTTTCAATTTAAAAATGCAAAACCTAGTGTGTAAGAATGATTAATGGCTAAATATTTGAAAACTCTTTGAGCTAAATAGGTATTAAGCTAAGAAGAGAATTAGTTTCTGTGTTAACATAGTGTTATATGTTCTTAGCTAAATAAAAATGGACCTCCTGTGCAGTATGGCTTCAGTGATTTTGCCTTATTCGGGAACTGAGCATACTACGTAAATGAGTCTCTTCAGGTGCCAGATGTCATGACAGGTGCTGAGGAAGCACAGATGAGCAGCTTACAGCCCAGCCCACCCGCCCCGCCCCGCCCCAGTCCTCCTGCGGCAGGTGTTAGGAGTGCAGAGAAATAGTTAGATTCAAGGCAACTTGCACCTCAGGAGATCCTCTTGAATAATTTATTGGCTGGGTGGCAATAGTGGGAGATTGGGAAAATGTCAAAAACCAAAATATAAACTCAATTCAGGCAGAGCGTTTTTGTCTGTCTTAGGTACTGTACTGTGTTAGCCTCTGTGCCTGGAATGATACTGATCCATATAATAGGTTCTAAGAGTGAATCTTAAACAAATAAGTAAAACTTGAGAAAGCTTTTACAAAAAGCAAGAGGTGTGAGAGAACATGGGACATGTTTGCAGGGGACAGCCAGTAGCTTTGGGTGTGTGAGAAGAAGGAAACCCAGGTAGAAACTTAAATTTTACTGATTTTTTTTAAAAAAATAAGGTATCACTAAATTATTACACTCCTTTGCCCATTCTTAAATACAATAAACTCCTCTCACTTAATTGAGCAATATAGCCGTCAATTAATGTCCTAAAGGTGAAGCTAGGTTCAAGCCATGAATCCAGGTACGTCCTGACTCCAAGCAGAATCCTGCAGCTGGCTTTGGTGTCCGCTTGGAAGGGAAGGATGCCGTGTTGCTGAGTGCACTCACTTCCCAGGCCAGAAGCCCTCCAGGGAAAGCATCCTGTTTCATGCACTTGTCGTGACCCCTTGGGCCTTGCCTCACTCTTTGCAAATAGTCGTGCTCAGCAAGTATCAGTAAGTGAATAGCGATTATGGTACATCCAGTGAAGATTGTATATACCTAAAGGCCAAAGCTGCCGTCTCCCAATTTTAAAAACATTTAAATATTTATGTATTTTCATTTTATTTGGATGCAGATATATATATAGATAGAGATATATATATATATATAGAGAGAGAGAGAGATATCTTCAATCTGCTGGTTCATCTCCAAATACTTGCAATAGCCAGAGCTGGATAAAGTCAAAGTCAGGAGCCTGGAACTTCATCCACGTCTCCCACATAGACAGCAAGGACCCAAGTACTTGAACCATCATCTGCTGTCGCCTATGATGTGCGTTAGTGGGAAGCTGGGTTAGAAGCAGAGCAGCTGGAACTCAGACCAGGCACTCCTGAATGGGATGGAGCTATCCCAAGTGGTGATTTAACCACTGTGCTGAATGTCCATTTCTCCCCCAGCTTTCTTTAAAGAATTATTTTACTTATTTGAAAAGCAGAGTTACAGAGAGAAAGGGAGGGAGAGACAAAGAGAGAGGTCTTCCATCTGCTGGTTTACTCTCCAGATGGCTACAACAGCCAGTCAGGAGCTTCTTCCAGGTCTCCTATGTGGGTGGCAGGGGCCCAAGCACTTGGGCCATCTTCTGTTAACTTCCCATGCAGGTAAGCAGGGAGCTAGATTTTAAGTGGAACAGCTGGGACTTGAACCAGTGCCTATACGGGGTGCAGGTGCTACAGGCCATGGCTTAACCTGCTGTGCCACAATGCTAGTCCCGATCCCCAAATTTTTAAAAGAACTTTCCAGAAATTTTTCTTCAGTGATCCTATAGATGTTCTTGGTTATTTCTATGTCACTATCACAAGTAGTTCACCAAATTATTCATGTTCTTGACCATTTAAAATTATTATTACACATACGATATGATCAGTGATTTTACATAACAGATGTATAGCGAGTCACAGGCTATCTTTGTCACCATCATCTCCTTTCCCCCCAACCTGTATTCTGTTTTACTTCCATTAAATTGTTCGAGATTTGAATTTGTACTGGAATCTTTTTTATTTATTTTTCTGTGATGGATATTTTCAAAAACATGCGAAAGTAGACAGAATAGGATAATGAATCAATCCCTTATCATGAGGCTTCCTTGGTATCAACTTCTTGCTTCATCTGTATCCTGCTTCCCTCACTGCCACCCTCATGTGTAAACAGTGGGGAATTTTGAAGCTCATTCCAGTTACTTCACGTGCTAGAGTCTCTTTATGAATGGGGATTTATTTCATTAGTAGAAAAGGTTGTTATTTCTGAGAATGTGCTACTAAGCCATATAATTTCAAGTTTTCTTAATGTAATCCAATTCCATATGAAATCTTAAAAATTGGTGTCTTTCACGTTATAATAAGATTTCAAAGCTCAGTAAGGTTTCATGTAGATAAAATCATTGGCAGGGTCTGTGAGTGTTAAAAATCCTCTGAAACATGCTTCCTTTTTTAAACAACAAAACAGATCCCAGCTGTGTGGTAATCCAATAACTGTTGTCCTGAGACTTCAGTTCTGTGGTAGGGGTTAGCCAGCATACAAGATACCCAGGGATCCAGGCGCAGGTCACGGTGGCCAGCCCTTCTTGGCCTCACTCTCTCAGGTCTGTTACAGCAGAGGGCACGCATGTGTTTCACGGGAGCCTGTGCAGTCCACACACACGGAACCATTTGCCTGCCCTCCCTGCACTTACTCCCAGGCCAGTTGCTGGGAGCAGCATTTGCAAGCTTTGCTAAAATGGGCTAGTTTCATTTGTCTGCACTGTAAAAGCTCCTCAGAGGAGAGATACGGCTCTGAAACAGCTCTCTGAGGACCGTAGCGTCGTTTTCTAGGTTTCTGTCCGTCTGTTTTTCCCGTCTGTAGCTTGCTGCTGCTGTTGTGTCTCACTGTCCCTCATCAGATGTGTCAGCCTTGTTTCCCCGAGGCCCCAGAGCCCACCCACGGTGCACGTATGGCAGCCCCTCAGCAAACATTGGAAAAATATGAGCAAGTGAATGAAAACGTAAACGTGAGTGAACGAATGATGGATGATATGACCTACATTTGCTGACAAAAGTCCTTGCGTTAATTAGTATTCTACAAAGGTACATACCCCTTCCGGGATTTCTTAGCAGAATGAAATTAGTTTGGAATTATTATTATGGGATGACTAGTAAGCTAGTTAGCTCTGACTTACTGCTACATTATTATTTTGTTTACAGGATACCAGATACTATGTATTTTGTATAAACCAAAGTAAATCTACTGCTCTGTAGTTACCTTCTAAATCAGAATATGCCAGAGGATTCTACTCTCTGTAGAACCGTGTAGAAGGCTGAGTTACACTTGCAGATGTGCAATTATGCCATGAGCTTTTCTTGTGATAGCCCCCAAGTGCTGATGTCTCCTGGCTAGCGTGCGTCCAGTTCACAGTGTAGGGTTACCCGCATCTCTGCTTACTCTGTGAAACTTCTATTGCTGCTGTAACAAATTACAGCACAAACGTACAACCCTAAAACAACACAAGCTGTCATCTCAGTTCTGTGGGTCACAGGCCCACCTGTGGCCTGGTTGGGTTCTGGCTTTGGGTTTCAGAAGGCTGGGATCAAGGTGCTGGCTGTCGGGGCTCCTCTCTGGAGGTGCTGGGAAAATCTGCTTCCATGCTCATCTGTTGCTGGCCGATGCTTGTTCCTCGTGGTTGTAGGACTGATGTCCTTGTTTCCTTGCTGGCTGTTAGCAGAGTCATTCATAGCTTATGAGGCTGGTCAGTTTCTCAGATGTATTCCACACATTTCCCAGGCAGCAGTGCCTGAATCCTCTCTCCGGAGCTTCTCTGACTTCTCCTCTCACATCCCTCACTTCCTCTCCAGTGCAGAACTTGGTTTCCAGCCAGAAAAACTCTCTCTGCTTTTCAGGTGTGGATGATTAGGTTGAGTCCACCCAGCGTAGTCTTCCTAGTTTTAAGTCCACAATTTTAATTATTTCCACTAGTCGCCTTTGACACTTAACTTGATATATTCACAGGGCTTGGGGCATCTTGGCAGGGTTGGGGGGAGGCATTCTGTTTACCACTTCAGCTAAACTGTTGGGTTTTCTCCCGTGCTACATGGTTAGCCCTGGTTAATGGGTGGTTAGCACGTTGCAGCCATAGGTTTGGAGGCTAAGAAGTCTCAGTGGCCTGTCAGCCTTCTTGGAGTGATCTTATCTTTGTGACACTGGCTCTCTCCCCTGTCAATGTGTGTGCTGCTGACTGACTGCTCGTCTTGTCTCTTCTAATTGCTCTGCTTCTGATCTCCCCCTACTTCTGCCATCTCTGTGTTTGCCTTTTTCTCCTTTCTTCTGTGTGCTTTTCTTATCACTTATGTGCTCCTCAGAAGTTTGCTAGGTGGTGCCAATCACTAACGTTTTTTTTCTCTTCCAGTTACTGGGGAAATTGTGATTCTTTGACTTATTTTTTCTGACTTTTTAAGGGGTGGGTCTTAGGTGCCCTTGCCCACCCATAACCAGTTGGTCTTAAACCTGCAATGTTTACTATTAGTCTGAATGTTTGATGTTTCTGACTGTTAATAAATAGTAAGTTAATGTGAAACATTACTATATTTTTGCTGAGGCCAAGAATGAATTTTTCTTCCTGCTATCAATATTATCTTTTTCTCAGTTTTCAGACTCATTGTACAGATAAATTTTTGTGTGTCTAAAGGTGCATTGTGTTACATTTAACCAACAGGAAGAGAAATATTTCTGATACATTTTTCTTGAAAGGCAGAGAGAGAGAGAAGAGAGAGAGAGAGAGAGATAAAGGGCGACCTGCTCCCATCTGCAGGGACTGAAGCAAGTAACTGGGAACTCAGTGCTGGTCTCCCGGTAGTAGGAACCCAGCTTCTGTAGCTTCACTGCTGCTTCCGCGGGGGCCTGCACTGTGGATGCTGGGGCTGAGAGACTCCTGTGGGACGCAGGCATCCTAACCACTTGGCCAAACGCCTGCTTCCAGATTGTTTTTATAGTCCAGAAATTCCTGATCATTGTCTCTTTGAATACTGTACTTGCTCAAATGTTAATCACTTGCAACGCTAGACTAATATAGCATTATATGAATCTGCCATTGCTGATTTAATAAATCGTTCAATGATGGATATTGGATTGTTAACATTCATCACACATATAAACTGCACTGTGATGAACATCTGCGTCCAAACCCGTGATTATTTCATTTGGATAAGTTCCTGGAAGTGCAATTGCTGTATGAAAGGATCCGCACATTTTGATACTTTTGATATATGTTGCCAAATTGCTCTCTAGCAATTAGCTGTATTCTCTGTGAAGCAATTTATGGCAGTGTCTCTTCCTGTCCCTTTAGTAAATTTTATACTTTAAGATGCCATGAGTCGTACTGGAATAGCACAAATCCAAAACCATGTTTACGTTCTCGTTACTATTTTAAAGATTTGTATCCTCAAGAATTGAAAACTGACATCTTTCCCTTGAAAAACAGTTTTTATGTTTTGTCATTTAATTAGAAAATTTATAGAGAAGCTGTAAGGGAAAAGAATTTAGTTTTCAGTCATACTGATTGCATGTTTCTTTTTATAAGAAAAATCCATTAAAGAGTTTTAGATAGCTTTAATTTGAAACTACAGAAACCTGAGGTTGAGCAGTATTATTTGAGATGGCCATATTGATGTCTAAAAAGGATGTTGGTGGGGTGCTATGGGCATTTCGTGCAGCGGTAAAGACACTGCTTGAGTTGTCTGTACGCCATGTCGGAGTGCCCGATTCCAGCCTCACGCCCATGTGCACCCTGGGACGCACCAGTGATAGCTCAGTACTCAGGTCCTTCTCACTCACATGGGGGACCTGTATTGAGTTCCTGGCTCCTGGCGTAGGCCTGGCCCAGCCTCAGCTGTTACAGGCATTTTGGGAGTGAACCAGCAGATGCAAGACCTCTGTCTCTGTTTACCTTTCAGATAATAAAATCAATTAAAAAATTTTTTAAAGTTGGCTCAAAGCAGTCTAATGGTTATTAATTACAGACTCACAGCTTAAAATTTTAAGTGTTGCTGTTCACATCTAATTTGTATATCAGTGGAAAATGGTTGTTGTTCCCTAACATTGAACATGTTTAAATTATATATTTGTCTTTTTCTTTAAAGGGGAAAAGCCTCCATCATACCCAGAATGATCATTTCCAGAGTGATGGGATTGGTAAGTAGGAATGTTAGCCTTGTGGAAACTTATTGTGATACAAGAGATTTAGGCCAAATTTCACTATAGGAAAGAAGAGAGTGGGGAGAGAGTCTTTCTCATATACACACACTTTGGAACCTCACCTAATTAATTCTTTTATTCAACACACCTCTTGATAAAAATCCATTGGTGTGTCATTTTGGAAAAGAGTGAACTTTTTTTTTTTTTAAATTTATTTTTTGACAGGCAGAGTGGACAGTGAGAGAGAGAGAGAGAGAGAAAGGTCTTCCTTTGCCGTTGGTTCACCCTCCAATGGCCGCCGCGGCCGGTGCGCTGCGACCTGTGCACCACGCTGATCCGATGGCAGGAGCCAGGTACCTCTCCTGGTCTCCCATGGGGTGCAGGGCCCAAGGACTTGGGCCATCCTCCACTGCACTTCCCCGGCCACAGCAGAGAGCTGGCCTGGAAGAGGGGCAACCGGGACAGAATCCGGAGCCCTGACCGGGACTAGAACCCGGTGTGCCGACGCCGCAAGGTGGAGGATTAGCCTAGTGAGCCGCGCGCCGGCCTTTATTTGTTTTAAGAATCAATATACATATCCTAGAGGTTTTGAGGAAAAACATTTCAGCCTTTTACTTAACACAAGTTTTTGGAAAATATTTATGATCTACAAATGTGAGGTCACTCAAGTTTCAAGATAAAGGTTATCTAACTGGTACACGTTTTCCTCGTCTTAGAAGCCTCTTCCTGGGAGTGTGTGTGTGTGCTTGGTTTTCTTTCTTGAAGGAAGCATCTCCACCTCCCCAGAGTACAGCTGGGATTATGCTGTTTATTCAAAGAAAACTGTAGCTAATCCTAGGGAACCTTACAAAGCGCTTTTTTTTTTAAGATTTATTTTTTATTTATTTGAAAGGCAGAGTTACAGAGAGAGAGGAGGAAAGACACACAGAGAGAATTTTCCACCCTCTGGTTCACTCCCCAAATGGCCGGCAACAGCTTGGGCTGAGCTAGGCCGATGCCAGGATCCCGGAGCTTCTTCTGGGTCTCCCATGTGGGTACAGGGGTCCAGGCCCTTGGGCCATCCTCCACTGCTTTCCCAGGCCATTAACAGGGAGCTGGATTGGAAGTGGAGCAACCAGGACTCGAACCGGCATCCATATGGGTAGAGGCTTAACCTGCTGTGCCACAGCGCCCTCAAGTGCCTAGTTTGTAAACATGCCCACTCTTTGACAGTGATAATTTTTTTAATTATAAGATTACTTATGGCAAACCTGGGAAATATATTTTACTGTTGGATAATTTAAATTATTTTTGTCTAGGTGAATTTGTACAGCTGTTGAGTGCCACCTTTTCTGTTTATTTTCCAGTTCAGCCCAATCCTTCCGTACTTATTGGCAATCCTATTAGAGCATTTACTCCTCCACCCCCTCTTGGACCTCACCCAAATTTGGGAAAATCTCCAAGCCCCGTTCAAAGAATAGATCCTCACACTGGGACGAGTATTCTTTATGTACCTGCTGTCTATGGAGGGAATGTAGTTATGTCGGTGCCTTTACCTGTAAGTGGATGTTTAAAATTCTTTCTATTGGGTAAAGCAAAGTAGGCTTCACTAAATTAGTGACACTCCCATAGAGCCTTCCACCAACCTCTTTTTGTTTAACTTTCAGTGCCATAGCTTCTTCTAAAGCAACTCATATCTTTAACCTTCATGATTTTGAAATCCTCAAAGAAATGTGAATTGTTGTTTCTTGATTATCAGTGACTATGAGGAAATCCTGTAAATTAAAGGCTTTGTTTTAGATCCCTTTGCATTCTTTTAAAGTATTTCTACTGAAGAAATATTGATCTCTTGTTTTGTGAAGTGATGTTTTTATTTTATTTTTTGCTCTTTATACTTCTGAGAAAGATAGCTCGTTGGAGGAGGTAGAGAGGCTTGGATTACTCTAGTTGTCCAGTGGTTCAATATATCTGAGATGCTCCTTGCCTTATAAAATCTCACTGCCGCTTAAAAACATTACCAAATCCTTTCTGAGACTGCGGATTTTTAGACGGCTTCCATCTTGTTTATAAACCCAGTTTTATTGCCTTTGACATTTTTGAGTATTTTAGTAATTTTGTTGCTTGGCTCTTATGCATATATTTTCAAATTCAGAAATATTAGCCTAGGAAACAATTTCTTTCATTTAATCCAAGTATTGTAATTTCAAGTAGAAGTGATCATTGCCAAAGATCTTTGGCACCCCTGTCCACATCCCAAGTTGGAAAAATGCTTAATTGCAGACATACCTGAGCCATGCTGGCTGTGGTCTCACAAATGTGGCAGCCAAGGAGAATGAGTTAACTGTCAGAAGTATGTTAGTGGTGCCCGCTTCCTTAGGACTGTAGATTGAGTTATTTCTTCCTGGACAGCCTGGCAACAGTACCTCATCTACTTTATATAGGAGTCCCTTAGGATTTATATTTTACTTGGTCAAAGAGGGTTTTATTGTACAAGTTTTCCAAGAGATTGCATTTCACAGTTAACATTACAATAAAGTAATAGGGGCAGCAGCTCAGATGTCATCCTACTTATTGCTTTTATGTAAATATGCAGAGGTTATATATTTAGACATACCTAAGTTATTTTCTGCCTTGTTTTTAAGATGGAGTTGAATTAATCAAAAGTACAAGTTAATGTGCTGTTTGAATTTTACCTGCAATAAATGAACATTAAATGATTTGGTTTATTCATATGAAGTAGGAATACCTATGTTTTGAGTTGTGACTTCTTAGAGTGATTTCTTTCTTAAATTTACCCTGTTCTCTCAGTCTATTAAACTATGTAACTGTGCAGTTATGACTTAAAAAGGCAATTTTTATGGTAATCTCTGACATGTAGAAATTTATATTGAAGAGAAGTGACTCAAAAGTATAACTTGATTGACTGCCTTAAGGAATAATTACCAATTTTAAGTCCTCAGTTTCTTTGTTACCTGAAACATGATCCATTTTCCCTTCACACTAAAATTCAGGGAGGCATTTTCTGGCCAGTTAAGACAGCAATAATTCTATCAGTTGCTATTAACATCAACTTTACAGCTATTCATTTTGATCGGATTAACACACTTAGTGTGTGCATGCACTTTTTCCTGTTCAACAACACTATAGCAGTTTGCCTTCCAAAACATACTTAATGTAATTTTTTATTTCTTATAATATCCTAGGTACCATGGACAGGATACCAGGGTAGGTTTGCAGTTGATCCTCGAATTATTACCCATCAGGCAGCAATGGCCTACAATATGAACCTACTACAGACACACGGACGGGGCTCTCCTATACCTTATGGCCTTGGACATCACCCTCCTGTCAGCATAGGGCAGCCACAAAGTCAGCATCCAGAGAAGGATCAGCACGAGCAGAATCGAAACGGTGAGTTGCTTGGCTGCTCTTGTTTTTCTAAGTTTAAGACCTGCCAAGTGCTATCCACACAGAGAATTCCTTTAATAGTATGATTGTTAACTTTTTTATGGATTATAGATCACCTTGGGAGAGACTCTGATATAAAAACCATGGATTTTGTCTCCTTAAGATACAAGCATTTGCATAGATACAAAATTTGCATGTAATTTCAGAGGGTCCTTTAGGTTAAACTTTACCACTTTATGGTTGGTTTTACCAATTTTCTGAAAAACTATTAAATATTATTACTTAGAATGTTTTAAATGGTAGTCATTTAAACTTGAGATGAAAATCACTCTCCTATTAAACATTTTGTTGACCACAGATATTTTTGTGGGATACTAAGCATTAATGTTGTTGTGGGTTAGTTGATGTAAAGTAGTTATTTACTATGGAAATCTGCTAGAGGTACAAACAAGAAAAAAAATTACCTGCTGCATTTTCTAGTCAAATTTATTGAAGTAAATTTATGTACCGGAGTACTGCAAAAAGTTCATCATAAATGCAACTAAAAGATAAGTTCAGGGGTGGTATTTAGCCTTGTGGTTAAGATGCCAGCATCCAGCATCAGAATACTTAGGTCTGATTCTTGTTTTAGGCTCTTGATTCCAGACTCGTTTTATATTTTGTTTTGTTTTAAGATCTATTTATTTATTTGAAAGGTAGAGTTACAGAGAGAGAGGGAAAGATAGATCTTCCATCTGCTGTTTCACTCCCCAAATGGCTGCAACAGCCAGGATTGGTCCAGGCTGAAGCCCGGAGCCAGGAGCTTCTTCCAGGTCTCCCACATTGGAGCAGGGGCCCATACACTTGGGCCATCCTCTGCTACTTTCCCAGGCCAATAGCAGGGAGCTGGATTAGAAGTGGAGCAGCCAGGACTCAAACCAGCGGCCATGGGGATGCCACAGCGCCGTGCCCTGGTTGCAGACTCTTACTACTGCAGACCTGGGAGGCAGTGGTGATGGCTCCCGCGGTTGAGTTCCTGCCGCCTGTACTGGCAGTGTGCTTTGCATTCTGTGCTCAGGCCCCAGCCCAGCCTTGGCCATTGTAGGCATGTGGGGAGTGAACTGGTGGATAGAATCAATCTCTCTAGCTTGTATACATTTTTAGAAAGATCATTTTGGCACACACAAAAAATTGAAATCCAGGCATATGAAGGGTCTTCAGATAGTTCATGGAAAATATGCATTAGGAAAATAATACAGGGGCTGGCAATGTGGCATAGCTAGTAAAGCCGCCGCCTGCAGTGCCGGCATCCCGTATGGGTGCCGGTTAGAGACCCGGCTGCTCCAATTCCGATTCAGCTCTCTGCTATGGCCTGGGAAAGCAGTCGGGGTGCCGGTTCTCTCCTGGATGCTCCTCTTCCAGTCCAGCTCTCTGCTGTGGCCAGGGAGTGCAGTGGAGGATGGCCCAAGTTCTTGAGCCCCTGCACCCGCATGGGAGACCAGGAGAAGCACCTGGCTCCTGGCTTCGGATCAGCGCAGTGCGCCGGCCGCAGCGGCCATTGGAGGGTGAACCAACGGTAAAGGAAGACCTTTCTCTCTGTCTCTCTCTGTCCACTCTGCCTGTCAAAAAAAAAAAAAAAAAAAATACATGGTTTGTATCAAAATAAAAATTTTAATCCCATTTTCTATGAACTTTTTAAAGTACCCTCATACAGCAAAGTTCATTCCTTGTAAATGTACAGTTTGATGAGTTTTAACGAATACACAGAATTGTTAACTACCAGCAGAATCAAAATTTAGGGTCTTTACACCATCTTGAAAAGGTCTCTCACGCCCCTTTGTAGGCAGTCCTATCCTCCACCTCCCAGCCCTGGGCATTCTCTAACCTGACTTTTGGCCCTGTGCTTTCAGCTGTAGTTTGTCATATAAATGGAATCATGTAGTATATAGTTGTTTGTGTGCCAGCGTTGTTTATGTAGTCTTTTTTCAGGTTGAATCAGTGATTTGTCCTTTTTCCCTGTTGATTAGTATTCCATTAGATGGATACACCACAGTGTGTTTATCTATCTCTCTGTCGGTTGATGGAAATGTCAGTTATTTATTTTGGCTATTATGAACATATGTGTGAACGTGTTTTTATTTCTCTGGTAAATACCTAGGAGTGAGATTGCTGGGCATGTTGTAAGTATGTATTTAACGTATAAGAAACTGCAATGTTATTTTTTCCTTCTACTATTAATATGTGAGATTCCCAGATGTTTATATTCTTACCAGCACTTGGTAGTACCAGTCGTCTTAAGTTTACCCTTCTAGTGGGTATCTTATGTTACCTCAATGTAGTATTAATTTTCATGTCCCGTGCTAAGTATCTCTTTATTGTTTGTCATGTGTGTATCTTCTTTGGTGACAGTATTCATCTTCATACTCATACCTTTTACGTGTTTTTATTGAGCTGTCTCACTGAGTTATGAGTTCTTTATATATTTTGTATACAAATCTTTAATCACATGGTTTGAAAATGTTTTCTCCAAGAATATAACTTTTCCATTTTATTTTTTCAATAGTATTTTCTAAAGACTAGAGTTTTTATTTTTTGATGAAGTCCAATTTATCAGTTTGTTTCTGTTTTTGGTGTTGTATATAAAAATGTTAATCTAGCCCAAAGTCACACAGATTATCTGCTTTTTTTTTAAAGATTTATTTATTTATTTGAAAATCAGAGTTACACAGAGAGAGGAGAGGTATATATAGAGAGGTCCTCCATCCAGTGGTTCACTCCCCAATTGGCCACAACGGCCAGAGTTGCGCTAATCTGAAGCCAGCAGCTGGGCCTCCAACCGACGCCCATATGGGATGTCGGCGCCCTAGGCCAGGGCGTTAACCCAACTGTGCCACAGCCCCAGCCCCCTGTTATGTTTTCTTGTGAAGTTTTAGTTTGAGCTCTTATGTTAGATTCATTTTTAGTTAAATTTTATATATGATATAAGAATTGAGGGTTTTTTGTTATTATTTTGTATGTTCGGTTGTTCTAACACCATTTGTTGAAAACCCTGCTTTCCCTCATTATGCTATCTTGACACCTTTGTTGAAAATCACTTGACGTATCCATGGTGTCTGTCCCCTTGAACCACTGCACGGGTGATATTTATGCCAACTGTGCTGTCTTGATTACTATAGCTTTGTAGAAGTCCTGAGTTCAGGATGGAGAAGTCTTACTACATGTTCTTTTTTTTTTTTTTTTTTTTTTTTTTTACTACATGTTCTTCTTTTCAGAATTGTGTATTCCAGGTTTTTCCATTTCTCTCTATATATTATTTTATTTTATTTTTCATGATTTATTTCATTTATTTGAAAGGCAAAATGACAGAGAGAGGAAGAGTCAAAGAGATCTTCCAGTCACTGGTTCACTCCCCAGATGGTTGCAGTGGCCTGAGTTGGAGAGGTCAAAGCCAGGAGTCAAACTCTATCTGGGTCCCCACAAAGGTAGCAGGGGCTCAGACTTGGGCCATCCTCTGCTCCTTTCTCAGGAACATTAGCAGGGAGATGCAGGGGAAGTGGAGCATACTGGTTGCTACAAGACCTGCTGTGCCACAGTGCTGGCCCCTCCATGTACGTTTTAGAATAAATGTCAGTTTATGCAAACATGAAACCCAGCTGGGATTCTGACTGAGGTTGTGTTGAATCCTTAGATCAATTTGGGGAGAGAACTGATGATAATATTGAGCCTCTGACTTATAAACAGGGTATCTCTCTGTTTTTTCTTAGTTGTTTAATTTTTCATCATTAAAAACAAAATAGAATATAGCCTTTGCACATATTTTGTGAAGATGAAAGCTTAGATTAATATGGATATTCATTTCATAATTTTCTTCTTTGGGTATCTTTTCCACAAATTCTGACAGGTTATATTTTCATTTTAATTTTGTTCAGAATGCTTTCTAATTCCTCTTATTAGATGCATGAATTATTTAGAAAGATGAGTTTTCAAATTATTGGAAATTTTCTAAGAATTTTTCTGTTAACGGATTTCTACTTTTAATTCCATTGTGGCAAAGAACATATTTTGTATAATTTGAAGCCATTTGAATTTATTGATGTTTGTTTTATGGGCCAGAAAGGATATTCCGTGTACACTAGAGAAGAATCTAACGCTCTATAAATGTCAGTCAGACCTAGTTGATTTATAGAGTTGTTCTTCAATTATAACCTTGCTGATTTTCTGGCAACTTTTTCTATCTATTACTGAAGAGGAATATTGAAATTTCTAAATATAATTAGCATTTGTCTTTCTTTCCTTTAAGTTGTATCAGTTCTTAATGAATGACTTTTGAAGTTCTCTTGTTAGGTGGTAAGCATTTAGGATTAGATCTTTTTGATTAATAAGCTCATTTATCATTCTGAAATGGCCTTTTTTTTTTTTTTTTAAAGAAATTTCTTTATTTAAAATTGCGTGGCTTTTTTGTCTTTTTTTCTGTGAAACTACAAGTTTACAAGTGAGGAGAGAACTGCCCCCGGCCCGTGCTTCCCACCCCCACCCATCACACTCCCAGCCTGCCCCACAGTTCTGCCCAGTTCCTTGACGGGAGACGTTCCCGCTGACAGTTTTGTCAAATCCTGAGGATGTCTGAGGGGATCACGTGGTAGGGTTCAGGGCCAAGGACGGGACAGTGCTGATTCTACTTCCCCCCCATACCTGGCTTTTTGCAACCTCCCTCCTCTCCCCACCCCCTTGATTTTGGCATGAGAAACAAAAAAGATACATTTCTGGGGAAACTGAGGGAGATACACATATAAGCACCCCAACCCATATCTAACATATTTGGTAATAACCCCCTCCCAGATTCGTTCACCTCCAATTTGCAAATAGTTTTTTTTTTTTTTTTTTAAATTAAAGATGCATCTAAGGGAAGGTGGCATCTTCAAATGCCTCAAAACCACTGAGTCCAGACCTGCCCAGGGGTTGTGGGAAGGAGGTAAGGAGGACAGCAGGGCCCACACCTCAGTGCCTCAAACCGGAAGCACCAGCGACCCGCTTGCACCAGCAGGCAGCACTGTGGTGCCCTGCAAAACTCCCTTCTGGATGGCCAGGCCTGGCACGGGGGGCCCTTTCACCAATTCTGCTTGTTCCCTTTTCTCTTACCAGAACCCCTTTGGCTGCTATCACCCCTAATATAGGAAAGTGAGAAATAAAATTAAAAAAAGGAATATATCTTTATATATATATATAAAACCTACTTCCCCAAACTAAATTAAAAATTAAGAACCAACAACACCAACAAACCAAAATATCAGAAACAAAAAAAAATTACAGATGGATCCCAGGGCTTCTTATTCTTTCCTTAAAAAAAAAAAAAAAAGTCCAACCCCAAAGCCCAGTCAAGAATTCCCTAAAGTAGCAGAAACTGCCTCCGAGGTAGATATCTGAGTCAGACACTCTTCCACCGAGCAATTCTATTGGTTTAAGATGAGCTGCGTATGAGGTAATAAAGCCGTCTGGAGGGGCAGGGTGGGGATGCACGGGGGGCGTGGCCCATGTCCTCTGTCCAGTCGTGTCCCCATTTTTGGCATCTCTGGTTGGGCAGGGCTGGCGTCTCCACAGATTCCAGAGCATATAAGTGGGGTGGGGAAAAAGGGAAAGTGGGGGGAGGGAGGTGTGGCGCAGAGAAACAGAATAGTTGAATGTGGGTGTATGAGAGAGAGAGAGGTGGGAGGAAGGAGAAAAGGGGTCTGAAAAATAGGTTTCTGTGTATGAAAGAGGGAGAGAAAAAAAGAGAAGAGGAGAAATCGGGGAGACCCCACTTTCCCATCAGGGGCCCCATTCTCCCTGCCTCGTGGTCAGCACCCCCAGCACTCAGTCTTGTTGGGAGGGGACAACCCCATCTGCCCTTCTCTGTCTTGTGCTTCTCCTGTGTTTGGGGTTTGTCCTCCAGATGCCCACGTCCTCTTCCCGAGTCGGCTGGTGACAGCCCCACCCCGTGACCCTGAGGGGCGAGATCAGTTGGAGGTGTCGGAGTGAACACTCCCTGGTCCCTCCGTTGGGGATGTCACTGAGGATGGGGTCACGTGAAATGGCCTTTTTCACTTTGGTAATATTCTTTGTTCTGAGATCTACTTTGATAATTCCAGTGTAATTGCTTCAGATTTCCTTTGATTATTGATCGCATGGCTTATTTTTTCACCTTTTACTTATAATCTGTTTGTGTCTTTATATCTAAAGTATGTTTATTTTAGATAGCACATAGTTAGCTCTTGATTTTTAAAAAAATAGAGTGTGACAATCCTTGCCTTTTAAGTGGGTGCTTAGACCCTCTGTGTTTATTGTTAGGTTTGATTCTGTCATTTTGCTGTTTGGTTTCAGTTTACCCAATCAGTTTTTGTTCTGCTTTTGCTTTTATTCTGCCTTCTTTTGGAATTAGTTAACTATTTGTTCATGATTCAATTTTACCTCCTAACTCTTTATTTTAGTATTTTAGTAGTTGCTTTGGGGTTTATAGTATGTATCTTTAATTCACTATAATCTACTTTCCAATTCCTGTTTTTCCACTTATCTACGTAAAAGAACATTATAATATTTCAATTTTCTCTTTCCTATCCTCTGTGCTGCTGTTAATATGCATTTTACTGTTACATATGTTATAGTTTATCCCTTGCCCAAATGTTAGTACCACAAATCTTTTTAAAGAGTTTTTTGTTTTTAAAGATTTATTTATTTTATTTTAAAGGCAGAATTACAGAGAAAGAGTGGGAGAGAGATATCTTCCATCTGTTGGTTCACTCTCCGAATGGCCGGCAACAACTAGGGCTGAGCCAGGCCGAAGCCAGGAGCCGGGAGCTTCCTCCGGGTCTCCCACGTGGGTGCAGGGGCCCAAGGACTTGGGCTGCTTTCCCAGGCACATTAGCAGGGAGCTGGATCGGAAGTGGAGCAACCGGGATTTCAACTGGCACCCATCTGGGACGCTGGTGCTGCAGACAGCTTCCTAACTTACAATACCACAATGCTGGCCCAAGAGTTTTAAATAATAAAAAGAACATACTTATCCATGTAGTTGCCAATTCTAGTAGTCAGTCAGTCTTTCTGTATATTTGTTTCTATCTCATAAAATTTTCATCTACCTGAAGGACTTCTTTTCACATTCCTTATAGTTCAAGCCTACTGGTGATGAATTCTTCAATTTTTTATATGTCTGACAATGTCTTTGGTTTTCTTACATTTTAAAAAATATTTTTGCAAGATTTTTGATTGGCCATTTTTATCATTTGTACTTTAATGATTTTTTAAAAGACTTATTTATTTGAAAGGCAGAGTTTCAGAGAGGGACAGAAAGAGAGGACTTCCATCTGTTGGTTCATTCCCCAAATGGCCGCAATAGCCCTATGGCAGGGCCAGGCTGGAGCCAGGAGTCTGAAACTCCGTCCCTTTCTCCCACTTGAGTGACAGGGCCCCCAGCACTTGGGCCATCTTCCACTGCTTTCTCAGGTGCGTCAGCAGGAACCTGGACTGGAAGTGAAGCAGCCAGGTGCTCATATTGGTTGCTGGTGTGGCTTATCCCGCTGTGCCACAGTGCTGTCTTTAAAATCACACTGTTTCCAGTAATAAAGCTGATGTCATCATTGTCCTTATTTCTTTGTATTTAAAGTGTCTTTTTTCTTTGTCTGCTTTAAAGAACTTTTTATATACTAGTTTTAGCAATTGGATTATGATATGCTTTGTTCTAATTTTCTTCATGTTTCTTTGGGTTTTTAGAAATTCTCAAATCTTTTTTTGTAGTTTTTATCAAGTTTGTAAATTTTCAACCTTCATCTTCAGATTTTTTTTTTTGTCTCAGCCTCTCTCCTCCTCTTTAAAGATTCCAATTCCTCAGTATTAAATGTATGCTTAAAGTTTCCCTACAGTTCATGGTTACTCTTTTAATTGATGTCTTTAGAAAAGTTTTTTGTGTGTTTCATTCTGAGTAGTTTGTATTGTCATGCCTTCAAGTTTATCAAGCTTTCTTTTGGAATATCTAATCTAATGCCAGTTCTACCCACTGTATTTTGCATCTCAGATGTTGTGGGTTTTTTCCCTTGGTGTTTAGTGGCAAGGCTTTTCTGGCATAATTCATTTTATAAAGTTTCAGTAGCATTGCCAAAAGAATGTTTTTGCAGAAAAAAAAAATCAAGGGTTCATCCAAGAAACAAAAAGTTATTTTCTTATAATTTAAAAGCTTTTCACATGTGAAATTATTTAAGTCTATTGTAATTGTGCTTTTTTTTTTTTTTTAATTTTTTTTTATTTTTTTGACAGGCAGAGTGGACAGTGAGAGAGAGAGAGACAGAGAGAAAGGTCTTCCTTTGCCGTTGGTTCACCCTCCAATGGCCGCCGCGGCCGGCGCGCTGCTGCCGGCGCACCGCGCTGATCCGAAGGCAGGAGCCAGGAGCCAGGTGCTTTTCCTGGTCTCCCATGGGGTGCAGGGCCCAAGCACCTGGGCCATCCTCCACTGCACTCCCTGGCCACAGCAGAGGGCTGGCCTGGAAGAGGGGCAACCGGGACAGAATCCGGCGCCCCGACCGGGACTAGAACCCGGTGTGCCGGCGCCGCTAGGCGGAGGATTAGCCTAGTGAGCCGCGGCGCCGGCCTGTAATTGTGCTTTTTAATCTTAGTTTTGCTTCTTCTACTGTTTGCCATTTACCTGTATTTAGTTTGATATCAATTACTTTAAACAGTGTACTTCTATTCCTTTCAGAATGTCTTTATGGTTAGACTCTATACATTGAATTGACACATCATGTGGATTTTTGCTAAATTCCATTTATGGCCAAAGTTTTGCAGGATTACTTTTGTATGTCTGATTTAAGAAAATAAGGCCTTGGGCCAGTGCTGTGGCATAGTGGGTACAGCTGCTGTCTGCAATGGCTGTATCTCACGTGGATGCTCATTTATGCCCCAGCTGCTCCACTTCTGATCCAGCTCCCTGCTAATGGCCTGGGAAAAGCAGTGGAAGGTGGCCCATGTGTTTGGGCCCCTGCCACCCACATCGGAGACCTGGTTGAAACTCCTGGCTCTGGCCTGGCTCAGCCCTGGTCATTGTGGCCACTGGAAACCAGTAGATGGAAGATCTCTTTCTCTCTCTCTATAACTCTGCCTTTCAAATAAATAAATAATTTTTTTTTTAATGAGGTTCTACATATATTGAGTTTGATTAATAATCCTTTGGAATTATTTTATGTTTTAAGTTTTATTCTCTTATTAAGTTTTTGCCTTGTCAGTGAGGTTTGCTTTGTTTATATAGTTTCTTTTCTGCAGAGAAATGGCAACTTTGAAAATTTAACAACAAAGCCCAAGTAGTAATGAAAATTGATAATAATAGGTATAAAATGTTTAAAGTATTCTGCTTCTTCATCTAATATTGGTTGGTCATTGGAAATATCATATCTACCATAGAAAATTTATAGAAACTTTTAAATATTTTCTTAGGTAAGAGTGATACAAACAATCCTGGACCTGAAATTAATAAGATTCGAACACCAGAGAAAAAGCCTACAGAGCCAAAGCAGGTATGCTGTGTACACTGAGTGAACACGTTCTGATGGGCTTAGTCCAGTGGGGCATCTGAGGATCTCGACGTTTCAGAGAAAACTCTCGACATTTATGTATTGTCTTTTATATTTAATGTGTCACGAGGACCCGGTGGGCCATGCTGTCTTTCCCTTCCCTTCTTTTTCGGCTGTACTGTTTTATTGATGGATAGACATTTCTCATGCTGTTGTTCTCTGATAGACTTGAATGTAGAGGTTTTCTGTGATCAGGTAGATGATGAAGACAGAGCTACAGCTGGTTGTTGGCAGTCGTCTCAGAATGGCAGGGACTGTTGTCTAGGGAAGAAGTCCTTCACTTGTCGCCTCACACAGGGCGTGGGCCTGGAGTTCTTTATCTGTCTGCTCATCCACTTTTCCTGCTTCCATGTTTGTGAGCCATTTTGAGAAAATGAGTTGAATTAATATCACTGGAAATTCATGTTTTCTAATCTCACTGGAGCTGATGGGTCTCCCCTACAGTTTTTTAATTTTTACTTAGCTTTGCTTATTTATTTATTTGAAAGTCAGAATTATACAGAGAGAGAAGGAGAGGCAGAGAGAGAGAGAGAGAGAGAGAGAGAGAGAGAGGTCTTCCATCCGCTGGTTCACTCCCCAGATGGCTGCACAAGCTGCACTGATCCGAAGCCAGGAGCCAGGAGCTTCTTCCAGGTCTCCCACATGGGTGCAGGGGCCCAAGCACTTGGGCCATCTTCTGCTTTCCCAGGCTATAGCAGAGAGCTGGCTTGGAAGTGGAGCAGCCAAGACTTGAACCCGCGCCCATATAAGATGCCGGCACGTGAGGCGGCCACAGTCCCAGCCCCTCAGGCATGATTTTGCCTTAGACTTATATCATCAGGATTTATCTGTTAACTTATAACCTTACATAGATCTCCTTTTCTATATCCTTGAATATCCTTACTTCCTCATCTCCAACCTCATCAGGACTAGTCTCTCCTTCCTGCTTACCTCACAGACTTTGTGCCTTTTTCTCACTTGAGATTATTTCCAGCTACTGATTCTTCTCAGCCTATTAGATATTTACATCTGTTTTAGCCTAAAGTAAGGATGTCAATTCCTTGATTTTTTTTTTAAGATACTTTGGTCTTCATCTCCTCTGTAACTAGATTTCTCTTTTCTACCTCTTCATATTGAGTCCTTAACCCACATTGTCTAGATGCTTTATTTCACTGAAACAATTAAGCTCCTAATGACCACATCATTTTATTTATTTATTTATTTTTTGACAGGCAGAGTGGACAGTGAGAGAGAGAGACAGAGAGAAAGGTCTTCCTTTTGCCGTTGGTACACCCTCCAATGGCCAGCGCACCGCGCTGATCCGATGGCAGGAGCCAGGTACTTATCCTGGTCTTCCCATGGGGTGCAGGGCCCAAGGACTTGGGCCATCCTCCACTGCACTCCCTGGCCACAGCAGAGAGCTGGCCTGGAAGAGGGGCAACCGGGACAGAATCCGGCACCCCGACTGGGACTAGAACCCGGTGTGCCAGCGCCGCTAGGTGGAGGATTAGCCTAGTGGGCCGTGGTGCCGGCCCTAATGACCACATCTTAGGAACACACTTAGTGTATTTTCATTTGATGTTCCTTTGATATTTGGTACTGCTTGCTACTTCGGCCTTTGGCCATCTTATTTCTTTCAGTTTCTTTGGCATACCAACTTCTCAGAACTCTGCATCATGACCTCTGTCTCTTCTGTTACTGTCCACCCTTCCCATCCATTCCCAGTCTTCAAGCTAGAGTTTTCCAGAGTTCTGTCATTGTCCCACCTCTCCTTGCATTCTATGGTTTCTTCCTGCACACTAGTCCGACCCATGGTAATGATTTTCAAATCTGTATCTGCAACCTCAGCCTGGCTTTAGCAGCTGTTCTCTGTATTCATTACTTACGTCCCATAAGTATGTCTCACTCATAATTTCTGCATCTGGAAGGGTTCGGGGCCTGCTGGAGGAGCGGCTGTGCAGACGAAGCAGCCCGGGGAACCTCCTGGAGAGAAGTGGACAGCCGCTTTGGGAAGGGGTCAGGGAGAGAACGAGTGGTACGTTAGGAGGGGCATCTGCCCGAGGCAGCCTGGATCAGGACGGAGCCCAGGAGTCTTGGGTGCTGTCAGAGCAGCTCAGGCCAAGGCAGCTAATGGTTTTTCGGCCTTGTTTTAGAATTTGTTAGGATTCTTCTCTGTTAGAGGACTGGGTGACATGGTAGTCTTGTTTCAGTTTCTTTCTTACCCTGATGCTTTGACTTTGGGCCCAAATAGAAGAACTTATAGCTCTCTTCTCTGACCGAGCCAGTGCCTCAGGATTAAGAGAGTAATAGGGAAGAATCTAATCCTGACAGTAGCAGATGCAGCCCCCATCCTGCCCTGGTAGCCCATGGTAGTGTCGTAGACTAGCATAGTCTTGACTCAGATTTCTAGGACACGGTCCTCGCTTCCTGTCTGTGCAAAGTCCGACGTGATGGAGGCAATTAAAACAGTGGCCTCTGCACACACAGCTTAGGTGTCTAATTGTGGTCTCTCTCGTGATCAGAGTATACACATAAGCGGTGTCTTCTGGGAAAAAGATGAGGGTAACTTCAGTCAGTGACAAGAGGGAGATTTATGGGGAGAGGTGTTTGTTTATTATTATTATTATTATTTTTTTGGACAGGCAGAGTTAGTGAGAGAGAGAGAGACAGAGAGAAAGGTCTTCCTTCCGTTGGTTCACCCTCCAAATGGCCGTCACGGCCAGTGCGCTGCGCCAATCCGAAGCCAGGAGCCAGGCGCTTCCTTCTGGTTTCCCATGCAGGTGCAGGGCCCAAGCACTTGGGCTATCCTTCACTGCCTTCCCGGGCCACAGCAGAGAGCTGGACAGGAAGAGGAGCAACCGGGACAGAATCCGGTGCTCCAACCAGGACTAGAACCCAGGGTGGGAGCAGCTGCAGAGAGGTTGACAGAGCTGGAGTAAAACTTCCCCTTCTGGCTTCTGCTTCATTTTGCACACTGTTACTTTGTGGTCAGACTTGAATTTCAGAAGGACGACAGCACTCCCTTCTTTAAAAACTCTGAAATTCTGGTAGTTTCTACAATTTGTGGTATTAGAAACAATATTTGGGGCTGGTGCTGTGGCACAGTGGGTTAAGCCACAGCAAGCAGTGCTGGCATCCTGTATGGGCACTGGCTTGAGTCCTGGCCACCCCACTTTCAATCCAGCTCCCTACTAATGTGCCTGATAAAGCAGTGGAAGATGGCCCAGGTCCCTAGGCCCCTGCACCCTCGTGGGAGACCTGGAAGAAGCTCCGGGCTCTTGGTTTCAGCCTGGCCCAGCCCCTGTCTTTGCAGCTATTTGGGGAGTGAACCAGTGGATGGAAGATTCCTATTCATTGGTTCTCTCTCTCTCTCTCTGCCCATCTCCCTCTCTCTCTCTCCTCCCTATTGCTCCGTAACTGTTTTCAAATAGAGAAATAAATCTTAAAAACAAAGCAAAACAAAGCGATGCTTATGGTCAGCGTTGACTCATTCTGGGTTTTATGTGATTGGGCTCGAGCAGGTTTATCTAATGTTGAGGGGGGAAACACCCAGAAACAAGGGAGGTGCCAGTACTGTACACCCAGAGCTGCTTGTGCTCCCGATCTTCATGTTCCTCTTCTTTCTTAACCGTTGTGTGAGCTGTTACCTTTAACTAGAATATCTTCCCTCCTTGGGATAATCTAGCTCTTTTTGTGTGAGATTCAACTGGATTGCCATTGCCTCTTTCAAGCTTTCTTTAATTTTCTCAGGCACTAGGTTCTCTTGCCACATTCTCCTGTAGTAATTCTAATTATTCGTTTACATGTTGATATCCTTTGCTGGACTCTAAGCCAGGGATTAGTAAACTTTGTGTAAAACGCCAGATGGTCTCTTACAGCTGCTCAGCTCTGACTTTGTAGTGCAAAAGCCACCACAGACAATATGTAAACAAATGAGTGTGTCTGTGTTCCAATAAAACTTTATTTACAAAATCCTGGTGGGCTAGAAGTAGCCTTGAGGGTAGGAGGGTGTAGTTCATGGATCCCCTGCTCTAAGCTCGAGAGTACAGGCTAAGTTTTATTGTTGCTTTCTAATCTCTGGCACCAGGCACAAAGCACTTGGTGAGCCTGCAGTAATGTTTGTTAAGGGAAAGAAAGTCATTGCTCTGTAATGGTGAAACTTGACAACCGGTTGTACAAGGTGATGTAGTACTTGTTTGTTCATCTCAAAGTTGTTTAAATGGAGATGGATTTCTTCTATTAATACAGATACATTTGAAGAAGTAGAAGTCTAAAACAATAAAATGTCAGAAGAACACATTTTAATGATTTATAGCAGAAGGAAATAAATGGCTATCTTTCTATGGAAGAAAGTGTGAAATTAAAAATAATGTTCTTAAGAGAATTGAAGTGGATATGCTAATATAATGACAGTGTCTTTCTTATGTCTCAAATTTAATTTGCTGATTTTTCTGTTATCTTTTTTAATTTAAAAATATTTCCTCTCCTGATTGTCAGAAAGTGATTGATTGTGCACGCAGCACTCCTGCTGTTCCTAATAAGAATGTATCATATCCTTTCGATATGTTAGGTTTGGCAAAAGGCAGAGAACCATGAATTTGGGTCTTCTGTGGCTAAAAAAGGCTTCTTATTTTTTTCTAGGTTGATTTGGAATCAAATCCACAGAACAGAAGTCCAGAATCGCGTCCTGGTGTTATCTATCCCAATACCAAATTTCCTCGCAAAGATAATCTCAACCCCAGACACATAAATCTTCCTCTTCCCACTCCCCATGCACAGTATGCAATCCCTAATCGCCACTTTCATCCCCTTCCCCAGCTACCGAGACCCCCGTTCCCAATTCCGCAGCAGCACACCTTGTTAAATCAGCAGCAGGGTAGTTTGCCTGAGCAGCCAAATCCGATGCCACCCCAGCCCAACCAGCTTGCCCAGCAGCAGAGTCCGCTGGACCAGCAGAGCCCGCAGCCAGCTCCTCCGCTCTCCCCCGCGTATCAGGCGGGGCCCAGCCCTGCTTTCTTCAGTGCTGCCGCTGCGCAGCGACCCCCGTCGCCTCCCGCCGAGGCTGTGCTGCCCGAGCAGCAGCCCCCTCCCCTGCTGCACGGAGGCCACAGCCCTCTCAGAGCCATTGCCCAGCCTGGCCCCATGCTTCCTCCGCACCTGAATAACTTCCTTGAGGAGAACCCTCCAGGACTTCCTTTAGGGGAGGCTTTAGGTGAGTTCTGCTGTTACTGCTGGATGGGGAAAATCAGAGATGCTAGTCATTTCTAGATAACGCCAGCAAGAATCAGCTGTTTAGGGTAATAACCAAAGCCTGGTTCCAAACACTGCGTAGTATCAAGTATCCAGCTGAAGTTAGAGTCCAGCATTATGAAAGTAAGGAAGAATCATCATCATCGTTTTCACAAGTCCAGTTTCTGGAAAAATTAGAAAAAACAGTTACTGTCTACTAAAGCCAAACTGTAGCTCATTCTTTGTGGAGAAATTTGTTTGTAAAAACTTTAAAAAGTCAATTTGAGGAGCAGACTTTAGTCTGGTGGTTAAGACGCTCATGTCCCACACTGGAGTGCCTGGCTTCAGCTCCTGGTCTGGCTCTTGGCTCCAGCTTCCTGCCCGTGCAGATCTGGGGGAGCACTGAGTTCCCTGTGTGGGGGACCTGCCTTCAGTTCCTGCCTTCTGACTCCTGTCCTAGCCTAGCCCTCGCCATTGTGGGCACTTGGAAAATAAATCAGTGGATAGGAGCTCTTTGTCTATCTCTCTCTTTCTCAGATAAATTAAAAAAGAAAAAAATTAACTTGAAACCCCAAATGCATAACAACTCAGAATTCTCGCAAATGTTTTTGCAGATCGCATCCATGGGAGCGTAGCTCTGGAGACGCTGAGGCAGCAGCAAGCACGGTTACAGCAGTGGAACGAGCACCACGCCTTCCTGAGTCAGGGCAGCATGGCGTACCCACACCATCACCATCCTCACCTCCAGCACCTCCCTCAGCCGTCCATCGGATTACATCAGCCGCCCGTGAGGCCAGACTGGAAGGGTCCCGGCGGTGCCGAAGAAGCAGCAGAGACCACGTACACCAGGTATTCTGGCTGACTCACCCGTGACCCTCCACCATGTTCTGTCCTGAAGCAGTCCTTGTAGCTACAGGCTGGCCTCCTGGGCACAGACTTCAGAGTTCCCTTGATCACTGCTGAAATACAGAGAATTTATTTAGTAATGCCTCCTCTGCAAACTCTAGGCATGCGCGATCCCTGTGGCTGGTACCTTAACTCGACCCCTTGCTTTTGTGATGTCTTCTGCAAGAGAAACACATCATCATTCACCCTGGATGGATTTTTAAAATAGTCAGAAGTAATACTTCCCAAAAAATGGGAAATGACAAAGTAAATTAGTGGTTAAAAATTAAAAATTAGATTTGTCCCATTTTTTTAGTAGCACAGGATTCTACCTTTTTTCTTTTTTTAAAGGTTTATTTATTTGTTTGAAATGCAGTTACAGAGAGAGAGAGAGAGAGAGAGAGAGAGAGAGAGGACTTCCATCCGCTGATTCACTCCCCCAATGGTCACAATGGCTGGATCTGGGCCAGTCTGAAGCTAGGAGCCAGGAACTTCTTCCAGGTCTCCTGTGCAGGTGCAGGAGCCCAAGCACTTGGGCCATCTTCTACTGCTTTCACAGGCCATAGCAGAGAGCTGGATCAGAAGAGGAACAGTGGGGACTAGAACTGGCGTCCATATAGGATGCTGCTACTGCAGGTGGCGGCTTTACCCATTATGCCACAGCACCGTCCCCAGATTCTACCTTCTTATCACTATAGGTACATATGTGTCTGATCCTAATGCTAAGCTTTTTTGACTGGTCTGTGTCATGGGAAGACTGAAGTATTTCCTAATCCTTTCTGAATCAGGTCCACCAACACAATGGCCTTTTGTAACTCCCAGCTATCAAAAACATGTAGAGATGAGACATGTTTTTTTATATGAGAGAAAAAAAGAAGGAAGACAGGTGATTGGGCATATTTGATGTCTTCAGTTCAGCTCCTACTGAATGTCATGCTTACGTTTGAGGTGGATTAATGCTGGTTCTAAACAAGCATTACGATTCAGTTCAGAAGGTACACATTTAGTTGCCTAAGTGCTCCTTCATGTGACAGACTTTCTTTTGCTCTTGTTTTTCCTCGTCTTCATGTAGGTTTCAAGACTTACTCAGAGAGCTGTCCCATCGTGAGCAGAGTGAGACACGGGAACTAGCTGAAATGCCCCCACCTCAGTCGAGACTTCTGCAATACAGACAAGTCCAGACCAGAAGCCCACCAGCAGCCCCCTCTCCCCCATCCAGTACAGACCACAGTGGCCACTTTTCTAACTTTAATGACAACAGCAGAGACCTTGAAGTAGCCAACAGCCCAGCATTTCCGCAGCGCCTCCCACCCCAGATGTTCAGCTCGCCTTTCTCCCTGCCTTCAGAACACATGGCCCCTCCCCCCTTGAAGTACCTAGCACCTGATGGAGCATGGACTTTTGCTAACTTGCAACAGAATCACCTAATAGGGCCGAGCTTTCCCTATGGCCTACCTCCGTTGCCTCACCGGCCACCACAAAACCCTTTTGTACAAATCCAGAATCATCAGCATGCTATCGGTCAGGAGCCTTTTCACCCATTGTCATCTCGAACAGTATCTTCTTCTTCGCTCCCTAGCTTAGAAGAGGTAATGTCTTTATTCTTGTTTTTGCTTGTTCATTTTGGGGTTAGGCGATTTTGAAAAATAGCAGTGTTTATCAAGCTGACTGTAAGAGTAGGCAGATGTTATTGCATTTAATAGTCTTTTGTAGATAATCCTCCTGTGGAAATTATTTTAATTCCCACCTTCTTACTGTGGAATTCTGTAGCGTGGCCCCCGCCCAGGCTTCTGCTGCTGTTTGGGAACACCTGAACGGCTCAGGATGTGGCTGTTCATGCCGCTTTGTCCTTTCTCACCCCAGGAAATGCTGTCCAGTGATTCATCTTTTCACTTTCAAGTTGCATGAGTTAATTCCAAGGTTGCTAATCAGCTTCTCAAAGCTGCTGGCTTTTTCAGCCAGGGGCTGGTGGCAAGTGCTGTGCTTTGTGTTGTCGCTCGTCCTGGAGTTCACTCAGCCAAGACGGTTGATAGACCACATGGCTGAGTCCCAGCTCCCAGCAGGCATAGGCCTTGAATGTGAAAGTGACTCTGCTAAACTAAGATTTTTAAATTAGATGGAATTTTGAGCTCAAAATACTTCCGATATTTCCAAAGCATCTTTATGGACTTTCACTGATTAGGCAGACTTTAGGAATTCCAACTTGTGAAACATCCAGACTGGTAAGTTCTGTGATTAGAGATGAGCATGTGTTAACTGGTCGTGATCGTTGTCAATCACAAGGGTCGTCTTAAAACAGGATCAGCATTTCCAGTTTCAGTATGTGAAAAAAAGTTGTTTGATGTTAGCTTCATTTTGGCAGTTCCTAAATGATTTCTGAAGGCCATTAGGACTAATCAATTCACATGTTTTACAAATTCTTTGCTATAGATGTTGATTAAACAGTAAAGTTTCATAGGGGGAACACTGTTGTCTTTTTTTGAGGTATTTTTGAGGTAATTTGTTCACTTTGTTTTAGTATCGTTGATTAGTTTGTTCTGTATAATAACTGTCATTAAAACAACTTAATTACTATCTAAGGCTCCTAAAGAAGGTTGTAAGGAGGCATTAGGAAGATGAATGGCTATCTGTATATGCATGCATTGTGAAGATCCATGGTTTTGGTACCATGCCTTGCAAAGATGGGCCATACCTCTGATGTTATTTCAAACTATAAAGAAAGGGCTTAACAGCTGAGCCCAATATTGTTTGTTCATTACTGCCATCTGATTGCAGAATACTTCATCAGCCCTAAAAGAAAGCCCATAACCATTAAGCAGTTACTTCCCAATCTTCCTCTCCCAGTCCCAAGCAACCACTAATCTACCTGATGTCACTGTGGAGCCATTTCGCATTGATGGAATCATGCAATATGTGGCCTTTTGATGCTGGCTTATGAATTGCATCCACACTGCTGGCGTTTCATTCTTTTTTTATGGCTGAATAATGTTCTGTTGTATGGGTATGCCACAATTTATCTCTTCATCATTTGATAGGCATTTGAGTGTTTCCATGTTTTGGGTATTAAGTATAATGCTGCTATGACCATTTGTGAACCAGTTTTATGTGAAAGTGTATTTTCAGTTCTCTTGGGGGTGTAACTAGGATTGAGATTCTTGACTCATGGTAACTCTATGTTTAACTTTTTGAGTTAACTGCCATGCTGTTTTCTATAGTTCTTGGTACTATTTTATAGTTTCACCAGCAGTGTATGAAAATTCCAATTTTTCCACATACTTACATTAAAAAAAAAAGCCATTCCAGTGGGTGTGAAATGGATATCATTGTCAATATTTTCTGATAGTTGGTTTTTTTTTTTTGACAGGCAGAGTGGACAGTGAGAGAGACAGAGAGAAAGGCTTCCTTTGCCGTCGGTTCACCCTCCAATGGCCGCCGCTGGCGCGCTGCGGCCGGCGCATCGCGCTGATCCGATGGCAGGAGCCAGGAGCCAGGTGCTTTTCCTGGTCTCCCATGGGGTGCAGGGCCCAAGCACCTGGGCCATCCTCCACTGCACTCCCGGGCCACAGCAGAGAGCTGGCCTGGAAGAGGGGCAACCGGGACAGAATCCGGCGCCCCGACCGGGACTAGAACCCGGTGTGCCGGCGCCGCTAGGCGGAGGATTAGCCTAGTGAGCCGCGGCGCCGGCCATCATTGTGGTTTTAATTTACATTTCCCTAACGCCAAATGATAAGGAGCCTCCTTGTACATGCTCATTGGACATTGTTTATCTTCTTTGGGAAATGTCTATTCTAATCCTTTGACCATTTTAAAAAATGGTTTTCTTTTTATTGAATCAAACGAGTTTTTAAAAATACATTCTGGATGCTTGTCTCTTAATCTCATAAATGATTTAAAATGATTTCTCCCACTCTGTGGTGTCTTTTCACCTTCTTGATAGTGTTCTTTGAGGTATAAAAATTTAAAAATTGGATAAAGTACAATTTATCTGTTTTTTTTTTTCCACTTGGTTACTTATGCTTTTGGTGTCATATCTAAGAAACTGTTGCTCAATCCAAGGTTACAAAGATTTACTGATGTATTATTTCCTTCTGAGAGTTGAAGTTTTAATAGTTTTGCTTAGTTCTCTGACCCACTGGAGTTAATGTTTATCCATTATGTCAGGTTCCTTCTTTTGTATGTGATTATCCAGTTTTCTCTGCACCATTTGTTGAAAAAGACTCTTTCTTCCCCCACTGAATGGTTGTAAGAAATGCCAAATGCCAATGTTGGATTATTTCTGACTCTGAATGTCTGTCCGTATGTCAGTACCACGCTGTTTTGCATACGAGTGTAGCATTGTAGTAAGTTTGGGATTGAAGTATAAATCTTTATACTTTGTTGTTCTTTTTCAAGATTGTTTTGGCTATCCTGGCTCCCTTGAATTTCCATGTATGTTGTAGGACCAGTTTGCCAGTTTATGCAAAATAGCTGAAATGAGATTTTTTCATAATTTTTATATATTTGAAAGGCAGAGAGACAGACATACCCAGAGGGATTTCCCATCTATTTGGTTCACTCCCCAGATGCCCACAACATCTGGGGCTGGGCCAGACTGCAGCCAGGAGCTCAGCAGGGATCCAAGTCCTGTTGCCTCCCAGGATACACATTAGCAGGAATCCAGATTCAGAAGTGGAGCTGGAACTTGAAGCAGACACTATGGTGTGGGGTGTGGGTGGCCAGGTGGGATCCCAACTACTGTGCCAAATGCCCAACCCCATCAGCTGAGAGTTTAAAAAAAAAAAAAGAGTGGTTTTAATCTGTAGGTTGTTTGAGGGAGCATTGCTGTCTTAGCAATGTAAGGCTTTCTAATATTTATACATGGGACATCTTTTCCTTAGGTATTTTTAAATTGCTTTCAACAGTATCGTGTATTTTTCTAAGTATAAATTTTGCACTTCTTTTGTTAAATTTATTCCTCAATATGTTATTCTTTTTATACTTTTATAAATGGAATTGGTTTCTGAATTTCATTTTTGAATCATTCATTTCTAATGCTCAGAAATATAGTTGATCATATATTGGGTTTGTGTGTGCAACCTTGCTGAACGCTTTAGTTTCTCTAATGAGTTTTGTGTGGTCACCTTAGGATATTTTATATAGAAGATAATATTGTCTGCAACTAGAGATAGTTTTACTTACCCTTTTTAATCTGAATGACTTATATTTTCCCTTCCTAATTGTACCTCTAGTATGATATTTAGAAGTATACATCAGAAGTCTTCTAAAAGTTCATAGAAAACATATATTATGAAAAAACTACATATGAATTTCTAAAAGTTTTTTGCACCAAAATAAACTTATCTTTCAATTCTATTTTTCTGTGAACTTTTTGAAGCACCTTTTGTATTTGGCAAAATTAGAAAAAGTGAGTATATTAATTGACAATCTCAAGTTTCCTTTGTTGATTGAGTTCCATTGAAGTTGTATAATTTCAGACTTTGGAAGTTTATTGAGGTTTGTTTTGTGGAGATGTTCAGGCATACTAGAGAATGTGTGTTTTAATCATATTGAATAGAGTCTTCCATAGTTATATTAGGTCTATTTGGCTTATAATGTTGTTTAAAATTTTTATTTCCTTTTGATCTTTTGTGTAAGTGTTATATCCACTGTTGAAAGTAGAAAGTTGAAGTCTCCAGCTATGTGGAACTGTTTCTCCCTTCAGTTCTGAAAAGGCCCTGTGTTCTCACCTCTAGCTGATCTTGAGGTTCTGTCGAAGCAGACGTGGACTGTCTGGCTGAGTGTTGAAGAGGTGCCCAAAAGCTGAGAGATGTTTTTGGTTTCAGGCATTTAAGTAAAGCTCTGTGCAGTGACTGACCATTATACTGACAGAATAAAGACATCAGAGGCCACATGTGACAGATGCAGACGTCAATTAGTTCAGAAAAGTTACTGAGTAAACAGCAGCTTACAGCGAGCAGTAGCATGGCCTGGAGAGGGACAGCGTGACTTCTGTATTTGTACAGTTCAGAATCCCCAGTTCATCTGGCGGGGCCTTAGAGGTGCAGCTTGGGAGTCCTGCACTCCATATCAGAGTGCCTGGGGTCAGGCCCCGCCTCTGTTTCTGATCCAGCTTCTTGCTAATACACACCCTGCGGGGTAGGAGATGATGGCTCAAGTATTGGGGTCCCTGCTATCTGTGCCAGCCTTATCAGGTCTTTGAGCATGTGCACAGTCCCTGTGTTGGCTCATAGATTACCCAGGAATGTGTTAAAAGTTTTTCAAAGACCTTTTCCCCTAACAGATCTCAGTCCTCAGCTTCTCTCAAGCTTTTTAGTGAGTCTGGTTTTGGTTCTACTGTTAGGCGCTGCTTCAGGCAGAGTGTCAGAGAATGGGGGAGATAGAGAGAGAGAGATCTTCCATCCACGGGTTCATTTTCCAAATGGCTGCAACAGCCAGGTCTAGGCCAGGCTGGAGTCAGGAGCCCAGAACTCCATCTGGGTCTTCCATGTGGGTGGCAAGGCTGGAGTTCCCGGTCCATCATTCGCCGCTTTCCCAGGCATGTTAGCAACAGGCTGGATTGGAAGCAGAGCAGCCAGAACGTGACCCAGTG